AGGCGGAAGGCATTCAGGTCACTGCTTAGGAAAAGACATTTAAGAGGTAAGACAGCTGATTCACTGATCGTTCTACGCCCACCATTGACTTTTTTCCCCCCCAGATTCATTCACATTGAGTACAGGCGTGATCAAAACTTGCAAAGCCTTTGAGGGCGTCGCAGCACTGCAGACAGTACAGTTCGAGGTTAAAAAGAGTGAATGTCAGCCTCTCCATCAGTCAGGAGCAGTAGTGCTAATAGGGCAGAAGGTTATTTCCGGTAGGACACTGAGACAGAGCACACAGAGTTCCCACCTGTTAGCCACCAGCACTGCGCACAGCTACAGCTCGTTTTCCATTTCAGCCCGAGTGTCTGTACACAAATTACCGAGGCGCTGCATCTGCTAGCTCTGTGCACACCCTGCCTCGTGTGCTGCCGTGCTGTCTGGAGGACGTTGAGAAATGAGCATAGAGAGGTTGGCAGGTGGGCAACAAATGAATCTGTTTTGAAGTGACAATCAGCAATAAACACAGACATCAACGTATGCGCATCAAATATGGTAAACTGGACACAGATGTAAACACTCTCTTAAAGGCCAGACAGCCAGTACATGTTTTCTACTTTAGTTTGGCACTGGGGATAAGAGGCTACCTAAAAAGTACTGGAAGCTTACAGTCTCCAATTAGCATTTGTACACACTACTAGCCTTCACTATTGCAATTACAGTATACCTTCCAATATATTGGGAACACAAAGTTAAAGACTCAAGGAAACTAAATCTGTGTTTTCTTTTTAGATTAGGTTAATCCTATTCCTGAAGGTAGACAGCAAACATGTGCTAAGTAAATGCTTTGAATATTGATCAATTCCAATGACCAATAAATAAACTGGGCAGTCCTAATTATTGGTAACGCTGTCATAATCATTCCCCTGACCTGACCAAGTAAACGCTAACCCAGCATAGCCAAAAGCTAGCAAGCTAGACCATCTGTCTGTGGCTCTCTGTCTGTAGTTCATTCAGTTATCCATACACCAACATTGTTTGTTCATCTGTTCCCTCATTCATGCTTCGTTTGTCCATTTTTCTTGCCCAGTGACTTTTACAGAAAAGCTGGATAATGATTTTAGTGCTGTATGAGTGGCAGAGCAGGCTAGGAGTGTTGGACAGGGAGCTGTTAATCAAGCTGCTCATTAGCCACACCCACACAGTTCTCAGGTAGGTCTGATCAGTGATTTTAAGCCATGTTTTATCATATTTGTATCTCATATTTTTAATTCAAGCCATTAATATGATGTAATGAAATAGACAGCACAACTGCAGCTCTCTGCATGTCAAAAAAGTGTGTAGAACAGCCAGAATAAAAAAAAAATACACTTCAAAGAATTTAAACACAACAAAAACACCATTCTAAATGTTGACTTTTATAAATGTTTCTCACATTCAGACAAAAATCCAGTTTGCTCCCTATTTTGTAAATCATACACATTTGCATCAAAATATTATAATACATCAACATTATTGAAGAAATGCATAGTTCAAAATTGCCAATGAGCCTCTCGTCAATCACTGAATATTTTAGTCTGACCAATCATAGATGTTATGTGGGTGTTTGGATGGATCAAGGCATTCACATGATCCAACAAACATCAATCATTCTGGTCATAAATGTTACAGGCCAGTCTTTCTTCATGTGATGCCAAGTCCCAGGGAACACAGAGTAGAATATTAAAAACTTGAGTTATATTAAGCAACCAGCAAAGCCTGATGTTTGTTGTTTTTTTTTGTTGTTGTTTTTTTTTGTTGTTGTTGTTTTTTTGATCCAGCAAAGCTCACTGGCAATTTGCATATTGCACATTTCTGCTATATCAGTGTTGCAAAGACCAATAAAGGGACAGCCCTGTTCCAAAAGGTGGCCCAAGCCCTGTGGTCCTGCCTCAGGTCCACACTTTAGTGAAGTCAACAATGTGCAGACAAATAGGACAAGAGACCTTGAGGGTGCCTGGTGTAACCCCTATTCACGACAGCCATAAAATGTAATTTTCATATGTTTTGGAGGTCCCCAAGTTGAACTATGCATTTCTTCAATAATGTTGACAGAATATAACATTTTGATGGAAACCTCTATGACTTACTAAACTGGGAGCAGCCTGGATTTTTGTCTGTAGGTGAGCAACATTTATAAAAGTGCTTTTATTGTGTTTAAATGCTATTTTGCTGTTGTGCAGAAAGCTGCAGTTGTGTTTTCTGTTTTATCACAGTACAGCTGTCTTTGTGGAGAGGAGTGAATTGTTTTCAGAGCAGGGGGCTCTCACCCCTCTCCTTTCATACGTCAATACTCAGTCACATTTCACACACAGTGAGCCAACAGTGTCCTAGTTCATCTGTTAACAGTGTTACGGGAAAAAATATTATATTTCATCATATTAATTAAAAATATCTGATTTCCATTCCGTTGGTGGCATGTCCACTTGGAGGCCTGCAGAAGGAGGCTATATTAAATCATCTATAGTGGTTCAATAGATTACAAGCTCAATGACAAGGTGTATTAATAATGTATTTAATAAATGCATTATGCGTTTTTCTTTTTGTGTATGAGGTTTCTGACACTGTACACACTACACTGTATTCTTTACAAATGAACAAAAGTAGATCACAAAGCAAAAAACTGTGGCATCTTGAAGTCTGACTTTTGTCCATTTATTTGTCGGTCAGGCGTGGGGAGATTTTGGCGTGCAGTTTTCAGATGATGAGTAGTGGGGTATAAGCATCCTTAACTTGCCAGCTACATTAACATTTTAGCTCCAGTACCTAAACTAAAGATCCACACTTCAGAACCAAACATTTATTATGCACTACTAAATATGCTTTACAATGAGGAATTACACTTCCACTGTGTCTGCAGAGCCAGTGTTGGGGGTGATGTAGTACAAAGTAATGTGTTACAGTAATGTAGTTACTTTTTCCTGTAACAAATCATTACAGTTTAGTTTTTTGTATCATGTTACAGTTACTGACTTAAAAACCTTACTCTTATGTCTCTAACAGAACAATAATTATCCTGCTTGATGCATTTAAATCACAAATTCAGTCTGTATAGATTATCCACCCCTATCCTTGTGCATGATTTGCATGTGTGCTTCCTGCGACAGCTGACTGCACAATTTGGATTGTGAACATAAACACAGCAGTGAAGGAAGTGCTGTAATCTCAGCAGGCGATCTTTTGAAGTGTCTAATCACACTAATATGAAACTGATGGATAAAACCCCCCGACTGTAGGAGAGCTCCACCCTCACCTCTACAGACCAGACTCAGATTTCAATGCAGCTGTTTTTAAACTATTTCTAAACTGTTTCTACAGACTTATTTTCAAAAAGCATTAGCCCATTCAGTTTTATTATGCATGTTTGTTTTGTTTTGTTTTGTGATAGTGACATACTTTTTAAATAAGGTGTACTCTGTAAAGTAAAGAGATCGGTAGATCTCTGTAAAATATGTTTCATGTTTAATGCAATATGCTTCAAAAAAGTCGGGACAGGATCATGTTCACATCACTTCTCCTTTTAACAACAGGACTAAAGACACCAACTGATTCAGTTTTGAAAGCAGTTTTTTTTGTCATTCATGTTATACAATTTTTCAGCTGCACAACTAGATCGGGCTTTTGTGGTTGTATTTTGCTTTTCATATCGGGCCACGCATTTTCAATGGGAGACGGGTCTGGATTGCAGGAAGGCCAGCTTAGAACCTGCACTCTCTGATTACACATCCGTGTTGTTTAAACACGAGCAAAAAGTGGCTTTCAGGACATCCCTGAAAGTTGTTGTCTACATGTTGTGTTGCTCCAAAATGTGTATACATCTTGTAGTGTTAATATTGCCTTCAGAGATGTTACCCATCCCATTGGCACCAATACACTCTAGCACCACCACCCTGGATTTTAAACTTTATGCTGGTAACAATCTAAATGGGTCCATTTCTTCTTTGGCCTGGAGAACACATTTTCAGATCAACCTTAAAGGCTGACTTGTCAGACCACAATACACGTTTCCACTGTGCATCATTCTATTTTAGATGAGCTCGAGACCAGAGAAGTCAGCGGCATCACTAGACGTTGTTTACACATGGCTTCCGCTGCACATGGCACAGTCTTCACTTGCGTTTGTGGATGCAGTGATAAAGATCATTTAAGGAAAACATAACTTTTATTTAAATACAGGTCAAGGTGGATTTACAAATCACTAATTCTGCTTTTATATACTGTCTCAACCTTTTTGGAATTGAGGCTTTTAATAAGTAATTATTATAGTCCATTACAGTTTGTGAGAAGTAATTAGTAATGACCAACTACTCGAACACTGTGGTGAAGCAGCCTTAAACTAAATATATCACAGCATAGTGAGGGAGAGGCAGCACCATCCCACCTGCAGTCGTAGCACGCGTGTGAAGAGCCTCTCAGGCGCAGTGTGTCAGTACATGTCAGTGCGCTCTTCTCTCTTACCGCTGTGCGAGGACAGAGCGCCAGGCAGGAACACACACTGCGGATTCATCAAGTGTGTTCCAGCAGCATGCACTCAGTCAAACCCAATCTCTCTGCACCGCTTCCGAATTCCCAAAGGTGTGTGGGAAGCCTCACTTTCTTTTTTTTTAGGCTTTACATGTGAAACAAAGGTCATGCGCTTCTAGCCTGAGAGAAATGATTCATGCAGTGGTGATACTGAAGGATTACAATATACAAAAACTAATATTTGTAAAGAGACCGTAGCAGCCCCAGACCAATCTATCTATCTGCCCACCCCTGAGATCATGAGCAAATAACTTCAATTTCATCCTTTCTTCCTCTCATGCCCTAAATGCACAAAAACTCTGCAAAAGAAATGAATGAAGAAGTTTTTTAGAGGTTCTTTCAGTGTGGGAGCTGATGCTTAGATGTTTTTCAGTGGAAGACGGTCTTTTTAATGTCCATTTAATTGAACGTCCACGGTAAGATCTAAGGAATATGTAGCAACACTTGAAATAGACATGTTAAATTAAAGTCTTTTATTGGAATGCATATCATTTGTTTTACACACAACACATAAATAACACTGAATATCATTTACTTTGGAAATGACTTAGTTCACATCATGAAGACGCACAGTCACAAGGAAAGTAAAGCCCCTAGGAGCAGTTTCTGCTAGTTGTTGATTCTGCAACAAACGAATGTCAATCACCTGCTGAAATGTACACATATATACATTTATCGTAACTCAGAGCTAGTTCTAAAGCAACCATGGTGCTGTGTGAGCAGTTAATGACCAGGGCTTTAAGTCTTGGGAAGCAGTCCAGTTGTCGAAGGATTTTAAGGACACAAATACAGTATATCAACTTAACAGCATCAAACATTTAGTTTAACACATATTCATAATGCAGCTGTAATAGACATTCACACAACATCCACTGACGCAATCATACTGTTCAGCTTCTGGCAGCTACAGCTGGGGTGGCCTGCTCTGTGGACTGCAGCTGTTTCCCCAGGTACTCCCTGCAAAACATGAAACAACCTTCAGGCTCATTATATTCATATAGAGACCAGACTTTCAACAATCGTCAGAGGGATTTGTCGCTCAGTGTGGCCAAGAACCTAGATACTGTTACTGTTGAATAATTTTGGGATACCTATATCAGTATTGATACCTAGACTTCGATATCAATTCCTAAACAATACTCTCCAATGACTTCTTTCATATACGAATTCTTCTTTTTCAACATATCAAAATCAAATCTCTTTCTAAAGGCACTTCAAAAAATAACAAAACCCACTAAACCAACTAAAACAGCACTATGTATAGCCTAGGTGAGAGCTATAATGTAATATCATCACCACATACCTTTTCATGAATAATGCTACTGTTGTGAATTCACTCCACTCAGATAGTTTACTTTGCTAGCTTTCAGAACATCAATTCGTAGCTTAGCAAAGAAGCAGTAAGAAATATTCAAACTGACTAGTAAATTTCAGTGTTTTAACAAACTAACAAAAAGCATCAAGATTAATGTTAGCTTGTACATTACATTTTTCATAATAGGCAGCCACAATCAAAAAGTGCTGGGTTAGTGCTGCCAGATTGTCCTCTGCAGCCTTAGGCACTGCTATTTGTATTTGAACTTGTTTTTTGTCCAACAGTGGGCTTGATGTTAGTAACTTGCTCATTAGCCAATCACCAGTGTAGATTTTGAAACAAGCATGCTTGCTGGCTCACTGACACTGATATGACTGACTACTCAGGTACCGAAATTTGTAACGGAATGGCAGAATTTCAGACTGTCTTTGGTATTAAAGCCATTTGGTCAGTACCATAAAACTACTGAATTTCAGTACCCAACCACTAACCTTCAACACTGCTTAATGTTAGTAACTTACTCATTAGCCTATCAGCAGCATACTTCTTGGCACACTGATGCTGATAAGACAGCTAGTCAGGTACCAAAATTTGGAATTGAATGAGTTTTTGATACTCTGTGTTGTTAAAGTCATTCGGTACCATAAAAATGAATTTGAATACCCAGTCCTGAAAACAACCAACCACAAAACCTTTGTTTTAATGTTACATGTAAGGGCAGGTTTCAAAGGCCATAAATACAACCTAATTAGTGTTTAAGTGGTTTTGGCTCAAAACAAGATAGGGGCACTGAAAACAATGCTTTTTTGTTTACTGTTGTTTTTCATCATTAAAGAGAGTTTATTTTGCATTACTGTACCAAAATGATGAGCAGAGGACGCTTATGAAATAAGTAATATTTGTTTTAATGTAGAAGCGTCATGTAACGTGCTCATATATGTATTTTCAGCTGCCATATAGTGAGGGGATGCTGCATGCTTTTGGCCAGCTACTTTGAAAGGTTGAGAAGGGAAAAGGAAGCCCTCTGTATACAATGACAGCTGATCATAATGCAGCAGATGGTTGATCATGGCATCACTTCAAAAGACTACTCTGCCTCTCTTAAGGAGAGGCTCTTACTCTGGCCTGCATATGACTGTCAAGACTGCATATTGTAACTCGATTCAACCCACATTTCTGAACAATCTCTCATTCAGATGAAAAGATTTTATAAAAAAAAAGAGCTTTAACACTTTTGAATTTCTAAAAAGGCTACTTTAATATGCAGAGCTAACTCATGTATGCAGATGTCTCACTGTGAGAAGCTGCCTCCTCTGTTAGTTTAAAAGCTTTAAAAAGCTCTAAAAGCGTACGATCTCCAAACGGACAGAAATCGTGCCTCCTTGCTCAGTCCTCTACAAATGCTTCTTTAGGTTGTTTGTTTTCTGAGGGAACTAAAAGGGAAGTTTAACAAATGATTCAGTTACCAAGACATTTCAATTACATACAGTACACACCTGCCACTGTTAATTCTTGTTTTTCATCCAAAAAGACAACAGATAATCACGTTCCCTGTGCCCTGCACTGTAAATCAATTTTGGTGCAGGGACCCATAAAAACAATACAATAAAGAGGAAAATGACTACTCCTCTATAATTTGGTTTGTTTGTTTTATCAGTTAATGGGATAAATAAGCAAAATGATTTACTCCATTAGTTAATGGAACAAATGAGTTAAATTATAGCACTGCATAGTCTTTAAATTGCCATTTTCTTTCCCTTTACTGTATTCACATTTTTGTCAGTCTATGCACCAAATTTCAGTTTTAGGATGAAAAAACGAGAGAGAGAGAGAGAGAGAGAGAGAGAGAGAGAGAGAGAGAGAGAGAGAGAGAGAGAGATACAAAGAGAGATAGACTAGAGTAAGAGAAAAAAGTGGAGGTGTGAGACAAAGAAAAGAGAAAAAGTGAAAGAGGGTAGAGAGAAGAGAGCAGAGAAAACGAGAATAGAGAAAGAATGAGAAGAGAAAGGAGAGACAAAGTGAGGAGAAGAGAAAGAGAGGGGAACAGAGTGCAAATTGAAGAAAAAAGGGGGAGAAAGAGGGTGAGATAAGATAAAGACAAGAAAATAGAGAAAACAGAAAGAAACAATGAAAAAGAGAAAGGCAAATAAAAGAAAGAAAAGAAAGCAAGAAAGATGAGAAAGGGGGAGTGTGAAAGAAAGATAAAGAGAAAAGAGATATAATACAAACAAGGGTAGAGAAGCAGAGCAGAGTGAGAATATGAGAGAAAGAGTGAGAAGAGAAAGAGGAAAGAGAAAGCAAGGGGAAGAGAGAGAGAGAGAGGAACAAAGGGTGAAGAAGAAAGGGAGGGTGGGTGAGAGAAGATAAAGATAGGAAGATAAAGAAAACAAAGAAAATGAAAAGGAGAGAAAGAGAAGGACAAATTGAAAGAAAGAAAGAAAGAGGGTAGAGAGAAGAGAGCAGAGAAAGCAAGAGAGTGAGAAGAGAAAGAGGAGAGAGAAAGAGAGGAACAGAAGGTGAAGAAAAAGAGGGAGGTGAGGAGGGTGACAGAAGATGAAGAGAGGAAGATAAAGAAAACAGAAAGAAACAGAGAGAATGAAAAGGAGAGAAGGACAAATGAAAGAAAGGAGTGTGCACCAAATGTGCACGCACGCAGAGTGAGAGCTGAAGATCCTGAAGGTGTTGTAGTGGAGCTGTGTGTGTGACTGCAGGTGTGTCTGCTGGACTGTATGAGCCGAGGCGTCTGAAAGTCGTGCAATTTGCTTTAAACTGCTGTAACTAATTCCTCATTAAAAGTCATTTAACAAGGTCTCACCAGACACACGTGTCAATCCTACTGAAGGAACACACGGTGTTCAGCGCAGACAATCTGTGCTATGTATAAACAGCACCTCAACAGCTTCTGCACCAACCATCTGTTGAAGGCTCGAATCCATAGCAACAACTAAAACAACGCACATCCATCGATGGTTATAAAGGCTAATGAATAACAAGTTCAAGACACTGATTAAAAAAAAGCTCCATTTCTGTGGCTCTCTTTTACATAATGTACTTGTTTGTTAAAAGCTATAGAAAATGTGTAGGCATGAGTTAGTGTAGGAGGCGTTGTCATTCAAATGATGGTCCATACATACATTCACATCTTTAAATACCTCAGTGCCTTACGGCTAATGTTCAAACTTACTCAAGTCACATCAGTTTTAAGAAAGAGAATTTCCTTATTATCTCTTCATCTGTTCTGCACCACTGTCTGCCTAAACCACCCCTCACCGATATTGTGTGGTCAAACATCCTGATCTTGGCAGAACCAACTGGTGAGTTCAGTAATAACTCCCTGGACAGTTGATTAAACTAACACTACCACTGAGACTTCAAAAACGACGGCATCTATCACTTAAAAAGATCATGAAGTTTGTGCCCTCGGGAATGCTGTCTGAGGAACAAGCATAAGCTGCATTTCCATAACATGTAATGAACTACCAACAATAATCACAAGAACATCTTTTATCGGGTTGCTATGTAAATTCAGTGAACCACAACTCAAATCGCCTTCTATTATCTCTCTCTCAACAGCGATCTTCCTTAATGTGGCCTCAATTAAACATACAAATGTGAAGGACCCCTTAGACGGTGCCTCTTCAAATCTAAGACATATTCAATGACTAAGTAGCTTTTAATCAAAGAACAAAGTGGAGAAGGGTAACTATTAAGAAGCTCAAGAAGGGGTGGACAAAGACTTAACATTAAAATTTCTTGAGCTACCTGTCAAAACCTAGCAGCCCTCTCTTTTTTTTGCTTGACGCATTCATGAATTTGACTTTTTCACAGCTTTAAATGAAAAACCACTGCAAAACTAGGACACAATACCAGTTAGCTTTCAAATGAAAGAAAAACAGATGATGTGTTTAGTTTAGCTGCGTAACCAGGCACTGATATTTAGAAGTGTTTATGGTTCTCCACCATAACATACATTTTAAAATGTATGAATCCAATCAACTTGATCTCCAACAAATGCCCCATGCTACAAAAATTCTTCATGAATTTGGTAAAGCAGTGTCCAAGGACCCTTTTCAGAACAAAGCATTTGTACCCATCCAATAGCATCATCCCCACTGACCTTAGTTCATTCTGCTATCAGTCATCAGAAAGACAACAAGCTAAAAATAGCAACTTACCTTGCTATTTAATTAGCTTGACAATTCAGCGGAGACTGTATGCACACAGCAGGTGAACTCAAAGGTCCAGCTTTACTAAGAACACCAATAACAGCAGATAATTTGATTGCGCAGAAGAATAAAATGCACGAGCAATTTGTTTCATGTTCATTGGTGGTCAACTAACAACAGAACTGTAGAAAATTATCACCACCAAGGGCCTCACACAAACTGAGCAGTGCTTTTAGACTGTGTGTAAGCTGTGAGCTGGTGATCTGTAATTAAAATGGAGCAAAAAACTGTTAAGCAATAACCTCAGCTAACTGGATTTTTCAAATGAAAAGAACACATCTCAAGCTAGATGTGACTTGTCTACAAAGAAGCCTTGACAACTAATTATAAAACCCTTTTTGTCAGTGTCCACCCTTTGCCTTTATTACAGCTTCCAATTTTTTCGAGACTTGCTTTCAGTTTTTCAAAGAAATCAGCAAGAATATTTTTCCATACTTACAAAGTTCAGTCTTAGAAGTTGGTTGCATTTTCTGCTTCTCACAATTCAAGTAACCCCAAAGACATTCAGTGATTGTAAGGTCTGGACTCTGGAGTGGTCAGTCCATTGTTCTGAGAACACCAGCAGCTTTGTTTGATTAGGAAATTTTCTTCTTTTTCTCAGTAACGGCTTCCTGACAGGTACACATCCTTACAGACCTTTCAGGTTCATATTGTTGAGTTGTCTTCTCAAAGTGGAAGGATGGACAGAAACACTTTTTTTTCAGATCTGAAGCAAGAGTGGAACTTGATTCTCTCCTCTCTCTCAAAGATGAAAGCTTTACATGCTGTTAATCGGACTGTGGGACTTTTGGATGGTAGTCCCATCTCTGCATCTTTGAAAAACCTTTTGAACTCCAGTTTTGAAAACTCAATTTTTTCCCCTTATTTTTCTTTGACGTTCCCCTTTCTTATGCAAGTGGATTATAATAAAGCAATAAGCCAAGAGAGGCTGTGCATAACTGCGATTTTATAGGGATTTTTCACAGGGAAGGGTGTTATTAGGCACAACGCAAAGCATAATCGACATAAACAAGTATTCTGCCAAGAAATGTCGTCCCTTTAGAGTACGGTATCGTTGCCAAGCAACCATGAACCGCTGAATGAGGAGAACGTTCGGTCGCCCGTTGCTGTAAATTGCAGTAATTTCATGATTTCTTTAACTTTTTGTCATATAACAATGAACATATGACAACAAAGCACTGTTTAATGCAAAAACTTTCACTTTATAAGTACTTTTTTGTCACCAAATCATCATCGCAAGTCTTATTTAGCACCAATCCAGCGGTGCCCCTTTTTTTTCCTGCTGGGGCTGAATCTCAAATGACTCCCTGCTCCCTACATAGTGTACTATGTAGGAATTTAAATACTGGATTCTGCACCCCAACAGTGCATAATATAGCTAAGAAATATGGGACATGGTCACATCCACACTCGAGAAATGATGCACTATTTGGCTGTAAAGGCTAGAATTTCTTAACTTCCATAGCTAAAACACCATTTAGGGAGTACAGAGCCAATTAGATTTTAGGATCGAAACTATCTGTTTTATAAGCATTAATTATTTGTATTTAATTGCCAGTTTGACTGGAAATTAAAAAAATGTAAGGGTGGTCTCTGACTTTTGCACAGTACTGTATTTGAGTCTGATATTTGGACATAAAAAGATCAGTAAAAAATACTGCTAAGAATCTCAATTAAGACAACACTGTATCTCAAAACTCAAGATAAATACACAGTTTTGCAAGTGAGATTACATCTTCCTCCCTAACTTGTGAAAAAACACAAGCAATAACTGTTTTATTGCTCTATCAAACCTTGGTAAACTGAAAAGGACATGCAAATTAACTCATGCAAAAACTAATTTAAAAGAAGCAACATGCTGTGGCAAAAAAGTAGGTTCCAACTGTTTCTTTCAACATTTACTAAAACACCAACCTTTAGTAACTCAGTGCTCAAATGCAACAATTTACCACTTTTGACCTTCTATTAATATTTGCAAGCTATAACTACTGTGACTATGCGAGGTGGAGATTCCACCTGCTACAGAGCAGGTTTTTTTAACATGTTATTTTTGTGAAAGATTGACTTTGCAAAATGATTCATTTTTAGTTTTCCCTTTTACTAGCTGCAGGGATGTAATAATTGATGTTGATGAATATTTGGTGTTGCATTTGCTTCGCGGGCTGGGGTGGGGGGGGGATCAGGTCGTGGCAAGCGAGGGAGGTTATTTACGTAATGAGCAGCAATTACAACCATCCACAGTGAGCCAAGACCAGCTAGCTGAAATGACAAGGGGCTTTCAGCCTGTGATCACAGCATTAATGCACATTTCCAAGAGCAACTCATACAGCTCGCATGTTCTCAATTACTTATGAATAGAAGAGGATGACAATAAAAAAAAAAATAAATAAATAAAAATCAGTTACTCAGTGTTTCATAAGCCCATCTTACATATCAGTCTAGACACGGATATGTTTTAAATAATAACACTGGATTTATTAAGTAACAATAGACATCTGATTGTTTATGAAATGAGTGTCCCAAGACAATGACTTCCACATCTACTGCCTCTCTAACCGACTAATTCTCCAGTACCTATTTTGGCTTTGACCAAATAGAGAAAGATCCTTAAATGTCCAGCCTCATGAGCATTCACTGAAGCACACAACAGTCCCAGCCTTCTGCCATCCTAAGATTTTCCACATTTTCACAGAACTATTTCAGTGTATATGTAACAGCGTTTTAACATGTGAATAAAAATATGCTTTTAAAACCACATTAAAAAAAAAAAAGAGAGGTTAGTGGCCTGACTTGCACTTGTGTTACATTCATGGTGTGTTTCCAGACATTTATATGAGTTTTTATGGGATAAGCCTCTAAAAATCAGTTCACTACCATGGCTTGCATTACAGTTTCACCTGTTAATCTCTAAATACAGATACTGTGTGAGCTCCTGAGGAGGGAGAGATAGCGAGAGAGAGTATAACCTACCAGTTATGCACCATGAGCTTTTGCACCGCCAACAGTGCATTGTAGCGCACCAGTTGATCCTCATGATGCATGTGGTTCATCACCAGCTGCTTCCCACCCAGCTGTTCAATCACCCTGAAAGAGACAAAGAAATGCAAAGAAAGAGTTGATGAGACAAAGAACACAAGAAAGAAACAAAGAGAGAAGAAAAGAGAGAGAATAAAGAAGGAAAAACGAAAAAAACAACAAAAGGTAAGAAAAAGCAAAGAAAGAAGGCAAAAAAAAAAAGAAACAAAGTTGGAGACAGGGAGGAGTAACAGGAAAAGAAACAAAGAAGGAAATGGTCTTGCGAGACCACAGGTGATCTTGTAACGAGAACGTCCAGGGACAATCATAAGACATTTTGAGCTAAATCTGGGTGGGAACTTGTTTTTGTGTGTTAGTTCTGGCTGATTCTGACTGTGCAAATGCATAAAGCAATTTCAACTTAAATGGTATCCGGTAGTACTTTTTAATTTGTTGATGTCTTTATTGGTGAGAATAGATACACAAGGATAGATGTAAGGGTATTAGAAAAAAGAGAAGAGAGCTGCAACCGAGCATCAAAAGTTCAACAAAACTCATTCTCGTTTCGAGATCACATCTGGCCCTGTGAGACTAAAAACAAAAAGGAAGGAACAGAGTAAGCTGGAGGATGAGGAAGGAAGGAAAGAAGGAAAAAAGGAAGAAAAAAAAAAGATGGAGAGCGGAGGGAGACAGAGTGAGTGAGAGGAGGGAGATAAGGTAGTAGTTTGGGATTAATGTGGTGTGGGAGATGACAGAGTGCTGTGGCCTCTGAGCCTTTGAACTGAGCTCTGGCAGCAATGGAGGGCAACAGCTGCACTCTCTGGCAAAGCTAATCAATAAAATGAAGTGGTCTTTCAGCAGCAAAACTGCACTCATGCTAAGTCCATGCTGTGGAGAAGTCAGTCTCAACAGCTCTCAGTCTGAGCTTAGAATGAGAGTGACCACTAGTCAGACACACAAAAGGTCTCTAACTCTCAATTAGGCCCAACATTTATCTGTTTCAAAACTAGAGAGTTGGCATATTATTATTTTAGAATACTATTTTTGACTGATTGACATTCATATGTCAAGTTGTCTCTGCTATGCAAATGATCAGCCTGTTTTCTCGAGGGTGTATTACATTAACAAAAACAAAATCAAATCAACAAATTATAGCTTTCCGTTTAAACAGTCACTATGCTGAGCATGAGAGCCCTGCATTAAGATTATGCTGCGCTTCATTTGATAAAGAAGACCAACAGTGTTCAGGGAACCCATCAGAGAGCATCTCAAACAATGTTCATATGGTGCATTAAGATCAATGCTACCATGTAAGAAACACTTAATCACTGGGGTGATGATGTATGTGTTTAATTTAAAAAAATCAAGTGTGATTTTTAGGTGGCCAGTTCAGATTTCTTTACAACCAAAAATTTTTTGGAAGATTTTTATTAGCCAGGGCTTTCTTTTTATAGCAACAGACAATAAAGACAACAAAACTGTTTTTTGCTGTTTGTATTTGCTCTTTATCCATAGCTCACAATTTGCAGGCTAAATGAATGCACCAATATGAAACAGACTGTTTTGAATAGGCCCAACACATACACAAATGTGAATGCACAGCTCACAGCTACAATGCATGGATTTTTTTTTAACATTCTAAGAACATGGGAAGGTGCAATAATTGGCCAGTGTATTTTGCCAACATTCTCTTCTCTCACTGTAAACTGGGCAGTCCTAATCTTGGGTAGCGTATTACAAGTACAAGTCAATTTCTGACTCAATGTAAAAGACGGCATTACTACGCCTGGGTTGGTTTTAAAAACTTGATGTGATTTTTTGTCGTCTGTAAAAATCAGACTTGTTGTGAACAGGCCTTTATGTTATTTACATCAGATACTGTAACAGATAAGCCATAATTAAAAATGAATGCATTTAATTACATGTCAGGAGTGAATACTCTGAGAATTCCAATCCTGGCTCATTCCGATTATGCAAAAACAAAAATTGACGAAAGCAAAGCAATTTCATTCACATCAATGATATCCTCAGTTTTAAAGGTGGGACACACTGAGAGATATAAGCATATCAGAAAATACAGAAAACACAGCACCAGACTATCTTCACTAGACATAATCAGATTGTAGCAATTCTCCTGGACAACTCCTCATCTCCAGCAGTGGAGATCTGCACAGGCTAAATTGCTCTGGAGTGCTCCAATTATAGGGTTAGTACCAGAGGTGATTCACACCAATGAGCCCCTATAGAGAGCATTTGGCTTCCTGCGAGGCTGGGGGGCGTTTTAAAGAGCATGCTGAGAATGTGCGCTCTGGGTGGTCACCCACAGGGAAATAGAGAGGAGCAGGATTAAAGTCAGGAGAGTCTCTGCTTAGTCTGGAGGACAGGAGCGGCATGGAGAGAGACACATTACTGTGTTTTCAGACAATTTAACTTAAGAACACGGTGTCAGGGTTTGAAGTAGGGCTGTAAAAAAAACAAAAAAGTGATAGAACCATTTGAAATGTGAAATTCATAGGCTGCCCATGTTACGCAAACAATCTAAAATATTAAATCAAGCTATAGGTCATCCAGGGTCAGCATGAGAGCTGTGCCACTGTGCTCATCTCTTTGAAGCCAGTGTGGTGGTGTAAATGCCATCGGCAGTGAATTGAAGTCTAGTTGAAGTAAAGAGCCTTGAGAAGATTCAACCTAGGAGCCCAGTTCTAGTGTTGGGCAATACGATGATATGATATTCTTATCCCGATAAATTACTTTATGATAAGCTTACTGTCTGTGGTTCCACAATACTGACCAATTGCACACTTTGTTAAAAAAAAAAAGGCTTTTAGAAGTATTTCATTTGTTTTCTAGTTTCAAATGAGCTTTTTTATTATATTGTATAGAATTTGTACTCAGATTTGTCTCTGTCTTGGCCATCGGCCTTTCTGGTCTTGAATACAACTACCATTTAAAAAATTATTTTCTTTCTTTTAACTGTTACCATCACAAGCTGACTCATACTCAAGCAACACAGGGGTTAAACTGGTTTGTTTCAATAGCAAACAGAGCTGAGCTCAGGTGCTGCAATTTAATGGAATTGTACAGTGTTTCATACAAATCTTCATGATTAACCACAGTGAGAAATGACCTCTACAGTTACACATTCTTGCACCCCACCCGTTTTTGATTTTTTGCCACTGCAAGTTTGAGTGGTGCATTCTCTGCATTTCATGGCTGATTTTACAACCATGCATGTGTTTATTCCTGCTATTTTATGATTTTTCATTAGGTATTTACTTGCTGGCTAACTGTTTCTTAGACATACACACCTAGCTAGCAAGGTAACTGTTTTTTTTTAGTTTAATATTGCTAATCACAGTTACATTTGTTAGTGATGTTTAAAAGGCTGGGGTTTACTGTAATTTTAATAACAATTTCATGATATTTCATGATACATTGAACAATATTAACTTCCTACACTGTTGACACCCATGGAAAAACTGGGCTCCCTCATCTCCGAAATCCCAATTTAACCCCTGCTTAAACCAGATCATTGCATCTGTTTCTGTTTCATTTAGCCAATTAGCATTTGCATTGATCAGTCATTCAGAGCATTCGCATTGGTCAGAGTCATTCAGAGCGGCCGCTGGTCGGAGTCATTCAGAGTGGGGTATTGGCTGGATTTGGAGTGCGTATCAAATGCCAAGAAATTTACAATCCATACCACATTTGTAAGTAGATCAGGAGGTATTTTATTATGATTTGAAAAAAAAAATATTTTGCAGATGGAAAAAATTACTACTTTATATTTTTTCAGTAATTTGTACTGCAAGCAGATAAAGATTAGTTAAGCCTTGGTCTTGAAGAGGGCTCAATTTTTTAGCTCTTGGTTTTGACCTGGTCTGGTTTTAATTTGGAATCTTGACAATCTTGACTAGTCATAGTCTCATAGTCTTTACAAAGGTGGTTTTGACAACAGCCCTATGCCACAATATGCTACTCTGAGCATATCGTGGATTGTCAGTACTGAAAGAACCCTAAATAAGTGCATGTTTCATTACAAAGAGAGCATAATTAGCCCTCTTTAAACAGATTAAGTGCAGTATATTATGTGAAACGTTGAATAAATATCATGATATTCATAGATTTTGATAGCATTTTTACAAGTGGTACTACTGGTTCTTTTATCTGTTCCAACTTATCAAACTTTAGAAAAACTAAATATTGTGATGCATATCATGTATCTTGAAAATATCTTGTATCATGATGTTATTTTTCATCTCCACCCTTAGGTGAAAATGGATACATCAGAAGAGGCTCCTAAGCAGTGAAGCTGTCTAAGCTTTCATCCAATTGTCAAGAGACTGCGAGTTTGAATCCTGCTGATGCCTGGAGTCCAAAAGAGCAGAACAGGCCCTGCTTAATTAGTTGTGAAGCTGCACAGAGTATGAAACATCGAATAAAAAAAAAAAACAACACAAAAAAATCATTGTACACTGTTTGCAAAAAGCATTTTTAAATGACACTGGTGCATTTATGTATTCATGTATTGTGAAAGTGTCTTCAAGTGCCATGTTTTTGCCATACCGCCTACCCCTCCTCCATTCCAAACAAACGCCCTAGAATCATACAGGGCAGGTGCACTGTCACACAGACGGAAAAATGAGCAGGAGAAAGCAAGTTAGAAAAGATTTATAGGGGCAAAGCTGAGGTGCAAGGGGGGAGATTAACAGGCTTACCTTTTGCCACGAGGGTAATGTCGCACATACTCTCCCACATCATGGGCAGCCACAGCAATAACCTGAGGATCATCAGACACCTCCAGCAGCCTGGTCAGGATCCTGTCATACAAATACAAACATCTCTGCAGGCAAGACCAAACTCAGGCCCCCGGGGCATTACTTAATGTGCATCAAGCACCGCACAGCCGCTTACACGGAGCAAATACAAAAAGACAGGCACAACGAGTGTAACAATGTCGTGGCTTAAAACGTGCAGTCTATATCAAGCAGGGAAAAATACAGAGAGAAACATTAGCTCAGTGAAAGATGAAATACTAAGGGAATTGGCAAAGAAATTGTTGTGCCTTAAAATGGCCCTTGAACAAAGCAGTAAGAGAACAAGAGCGTGTAATTTCCGATATTGCACGACACATAAACATGTCTATTTCAGCTGTTGCTCGCATTCGAGCTGAGCTCAGTAACAACAGGGTACGAATGAAACAGGGACCCGCAATCACGAGGAGGACCGGAAATTATAACATTTGAGCAAAAAAATGAATAAATAAATAAATAAAATAAAATAAAATAATAATAATAATATAAATATATATATATATATATATATATATATATATATATATATACACATACAATGACTGAAAAATGGGGAGAGGGAGAGAGGGAGAGAGAGAGAGAGAGAGAGACAGAGAAAGAGAGAGACACACACACACACACACACACACACACACACACACAACACACACACACACACACACATCTATTCAAGGTTTAGACATTTAGAAAATGAACTACACAAAGCGGCGGGATGAAAGGCAAGCGGGACTGAGCCAAAACATAAACTGCAGCTGTCTAAAAGGAAGCCGGTCCTGATTATGTAGAGCGGCATGATGAGAGAAATGAGATGAGGAGACCGAGACTTCAAAAACCGAATGTCAAAAGCGCTAGCAAGAGCCTGGTTAAAATACTGAAAGACAATGATGGGAATTAATATTTCCTGATCAATTCCAAGCAAAGCAAGTGTAATCTTCAACCTTGAGAAAAAAGAAAGACTGCCCAACAGACAAAACTGTCAAAATCCATCCATAAACAGGTTCTTCAGCTTTACGATTTTTGTCCATTACATCATCACATACTTAACTGCCTCTCACTTTCATTCTGAAAGCCCACATCAATAAAACCACTCAATCCTCTTGAATTCACACACACATTAGATCCATCACAGCATAAATGTACTTTTAGCACTCATACGCAAACTCATTAACATCAACAATATTAATGTCAATGGATGTTAATTGTCAATGGAACAATGTCAATAACAAATGAACTCATTTATCTGCCACTCACTTGAGCAGTTCGTAGTTTTTCTCGTTCAGGCGGACAGCATTCTCTCTCCAGAACTTCTCCGACTTGTGCACCGGACTCCACTCCAGCCGGCCAGACTTCAGCTCCGAGCTGTACTCATCAAAAGAGCTGAGCAATGGAGGAGAGATGAAAGAAAAGTATGAACCATGGAAAATGGAGCCGAGTGGCAAGCAGGTGCTTTTCATGGTCTGAGGCAACAATTTCACAAACGTAATTATCAGCCCTTTATGACAGAGCGCTGACAGGATTGCATGATTTTTAAGACCTGCTTTTATCAGTAGAGCAAACATCAGGATTTAGCTTTCAGGTACATGCGTCATCTTCCAGTCACGTCACTTTGCAATGCAAAATGTATAGCAACATAAACAAAACTGATTACAGCTTGTATACTTGAAATATGTTTGGAAAGGAATAGCACCTGAGGTCCTGGACACTTTCTCCCAGTCTCTCCAGAAGGAATTTGATGTCATCGGTAATGTCTTCATCATCATATTTCTGCTGGTCCAGATTCTCCAGCTGTTTCAGGACTTTGCACTGGATCATGGCCAAAGCATACTCCTGACGAGTCTCCCTCTCTGCAGACTTCTCCAGCAGGTTCTGGACACCACAATTAAGAGAGAACATACAAGTCATTTCGGTGGACTCTTTGGGGAAGAAAATGTGTTTGGTGGTATCAAATATACAACATCATTAGGGAACATTTAAGGGAAAAAAAGACCCAAAGAGACAGGACTGACCAATTTTAAATAGAACAAATGAATCACTAGCTGGAAGGGAACAAACAGACATTAAAATAGACATAAAAACACTTTTTCATGTGGACTAAAATGGAGTATGAGTATGATGACTGGACGTTCTAAAAGAGGAAAAGGTCCATTCATGTCCCCAAAACTGTTTGAACTCCTCGTGCACTAAAGAGCGTGAAACCAGATAGACCCTTTAAATAGATACCCGAAAAACCATGGCGACCATGGCTACCCAAAAAAATTCACCTAGTGTTTTCACCGTTAAACACACTGTTAAACCATTCTCAACCATTAAGGCAAGCTAAACCTGTCTTTTCTTCCCAAGTAAGTTAACCTTGCTCTTGCACACAATATACATACACAAAGTATGTCCTGTGAATATCTTTCCAATACCCATTAAATGATAGATTTTGGCAACATTCTCCTCTCTCAATGTAATCTGGGCAGTCCTAATCTTGTTCAGTGCATTGTCCTCACCAATCACAAGGCTGATGTGGTTTGTCCCACCAACACAGCTTTCACAAAGCTATTCCTCCAAAGAAATTTCAAAATTCACCATGAGAAAGCTAACAAACAAAAGCTAACCTAGAAAGCATAACTGAGCTAGCAAGAACATCCATTTCTTTGTATGTTTGGTCATTTGACCATGCCAACATTATCCAATAGTGAATACGAATCCTACCTTCTTTAAGATGTCACCAAATAGAAGCTGGATAACGTTTTTAGTGAGCTATGGACACAGTGGAGTCTACACCACCTGCCTGTTCAATTTACTTCTCCCTGCACGTGCAGTTGTGTTTAGTTCTGCTTCAATGGTGTAGCAGGCTGGAAGTGTTGGACTAAAGGATATCATCACATGTGTTTATGAAAATATTAGGACCACATACAGACATTTCAGACAAGTGATATTGTAAGTTATTCTGTTATATTTCTGTCTTGTTTTTTTTTTTTTCATTAATTCATTCAAACTTTGCAGGATGTTTAATATAACACTCAATTTTACTATCATACAAACATTTTTAATACTCTTGACACTGTTTTCCCTGGGACTTTAAGATGAAAATAATTTTATAACCCAAGATGTAGGGTCTAGGTGTTCGGTCTAGCAGCTGGTAGAAAGAACTCTGTATTCAACAATGGTAATGTACAAATTCCTGCCCAGTATAATACAAAGCATTTGGACAGTGACACTGACTGCTCTCTCAAATGGTGCCAGTAACAATCAATTTTATTCATTCATACACCTTCATGGAAAAGCTCAAGTGAAAACTGTAACTATTCATCTCAAGGAACCTTAAGGGGTAAATAAACACAGCAGTCCCTGCATTGTCACCTAGAGGAATCCATTCAGACCACTTATCTCCAGGTAAACATTTGAATTGTATGTAACATGTAAAACTCCTTCTCAGCAAAACCACCACAAAGTTCATTTCTTTCCTTATCTATGTACTGAGCTTCTGGCAGGTTTGATTATATTCACCTGCTTCTACATCAGACTGTATACTGAATGCAATTATACTGAAACTGATCATGAGGAACTGCAGACGTGCAGGCCAGCACAGTGAAATGCAGCAAGGCAATTATTAGGCAGCTCATCTGCCTGCTCCAGAGCAGCTGTTGATTAACTGGATTGTGGTGTTATTATACAATAAAGCCTCTGACACAAATGACCAATTAAGATAGAGTTATTGAAAGGCCTGTCGTCCTTTGTGAAGTCAGGATGTGTTACTGATACGTGTGTGAAGGGCAGCAGGGACTTTCGAGTGTGGAGAAAAGGGAGGGGAGAGCTCAAAGGAAGAATTCATATCAGCTGATAGAGTGGAAGCTGTCCCTTTGAATTATGGCAGTAATTTATTTTGGTGAGTATGGCGCTGTACACTGTTGGCATATTAATCTGCCACACAGAACTCCAGCTAAATGCAATGCTAAATGGAGAACTAAATGACAGGCTTTGATCCACCCTCTAATAAGCTGCATGCTGTGGCAGAAAAGGATTATGTAAAAGAGAGGGACATATTGGTGATACTTGCAGAGACTTACAAGCACAGGTATAGCACAAAGCCAGAGAGAAAGAGGTGGCTTCTGTCTTTCACCAACAGAGAAGCTAATTCTTACTGTACTATTTATTATATGTACGTGTATATTCAGGAGCTAATAAGCAGTGCTGACTCAGAGTGGTCCTTATTTACAAGAGAAAAGCAACAGAAATGGTCCAAAATCACTTAGAAAAACAAACTTTCATTACAACTTAGAGCTGCACTATGCAAGATATAGGGATTTGGAGACCTCTCTAGTGGAAATGTGTAATTGCACGCAAAAAAGGTTGTGCTTTGGACCCCATGAACGGATGAATCTGATGATTGTGAGTGTGTTGAAAGAGTATTTAAAGAGAACTCAGTCAAAAATTGGTGAAGGAGGTGTCTTTCGAGGATGTAAGTGAATTATCTACTATTGTCATCATATCCTCATCAGTATAATGATTTTGCATTGGAGATCTAAACAATGACCCAGACCTTCTTTTCAAGTCAGTGCGTGACATTAATATGTAAAGACACATTACATGGTCTGAAAAATTCCCATGAAATCCGATCTGACACCTCTGACTTTTACATTACTATTCCGGCTTCATAGGGTGACTCACAGAAGTGCATGTACAACATAATTTTAGAGCATTTTTTCCTACTGACTCAGTAATGCTACCTCTTTCGATTTTAACAACAACAAAAAAATCTTACATAGTGCAGCTTTAAGAAGGTTTTTGCTTTTCCTGTTAGGTTACAATTCTGGAGATATAAGGTTTTGCTCCGACTGTGATGATATGTCAAAGATCGCTGTTCTGACTGACTGACTATTGTGCCTTATTCAAAAAGAAGTTCAATCTGAAATGTACAGAACAAACTGTGTAGATGTCTTGATCCGTTAGTAAGCAGCAGGGATACATTTGCTTCCCGACGGGCAGGTATAGCACAACATTTACTCCTTTTCTTTCACCACAATAACAGATTGTTTGCAGTAACAACACTGTTTATGATGTCAGCGTAAACAGGCAAGGATAAACTACTATAGACACAGCAGGTGGCCATACATACGTCTTATGACATCACAAATTATAGCAACTTGGGTTGCATGCAAAATGATTTTCCCTAAAAGCTGTCAGAAACATGAAGCAATTCAAAAACAATGAAAATTGCACACAACACGTTCGATTACTCCACTTGTTAACTAAATTAGCAGCATATATTTTTTGGTATACCATATCGTCACATGTTGGCAGCATTTTTATAGTGTTAATTTGTCCAGCTGTCACTGCCATTCTTTTCTATATCTATATCCGTCTTTTATCTATCTCTAGTGTTTTATTGTGTATTTGGGTTTTTTATCTGCTCTGTGTGTGTTATGCCTTTGAAAATAAATGTTAAAAGAACCATTACCATTGTACTTGAGGTCTTATTCATTCTGTCCTAGAAGCACAAGTTCATTGAGGAACACATCAGTCTACTCTTCTGTAATCATTTTTTATCATTTGGATCCCAAATGAATCAGAGCTCTGTGTAAAATGAAGGGGTGTCAAGAGAGAGGAAAATGAATAATCTAACTACACAGATTACAATAACGGTATACTAAAGAACAATACATGGTGGCAAAAGCAGCCATTTGAACCATTGTTATTAACGTTAGCCGGCTAGTTAACACACCTGGTTATAGAAACGTTAGCTTTGAGAAGCTCATGTTTGTTTGTTGTCATGGTTCAGAAAACTGACAAAAACTACCAAACTTCTCCAAGTTAATTAAGAGGATCACCTTTTCAAACATCCATTACATCTTCTGTTTTTGCTTCTTGTCCATTGACCAGGTGAAATTAAGCATTTGAAATGGTGTTATTTGATACGATCACGTGACACGTTATCGGCATTTTGATTGGCTGTTTCATAACACTTGGTTCACAAAGTTGAGAAGCTTGCAACTGCTGTGGCTGGGTATCAAACTGCAGGATGCTTTATGTTATGCAACTCAAGTGCAATTTAGTTTCATGTTGTTTTCAAGCAACTAAAGTTGCATGTAAGTTTCACCGTGTAAAGCTAGCCTTGATTTACATATTTACACTGTTAGAACTTGAGAGTGAATGTTAAACTTTTAAAATGTACCAATGTTTATTTATTAAATGTGACTTATTTTTAAAAGCAATGCAAATTTGGATTTCCATGACATGACTGTTCCATGAAATGATATTTAAGCGTTTAATACAGGAACTGCTCAAGTACAACAAGCGAACTTTAAAAACTCTCATTTAAAGCACAGTAATGGCAGCTTTTGAATTGAGAGAAAAGTGTACCCTTATGCTACCTTTTCCCTGTGGTATTCTTGCATTCTTGCATAATGTTCTCATTTGGAAATGAAGAGCACATTACTTAACACTGTTTACACTACAGCCAAAGTCACGCATGGATTTTATTCCTGTCAGTGCTCCTAAGCACTGCTTTTGTTTTTTGTCCCCTCTCTTTTTCTGCAGGCAGAACATGAGGAGGAAACACACTTCTATGAAATACTACTGAAACATTTTCAGGTATTTGCATGTATTAAAACTGAGGCAGACAACAATATCATTTTGGGTCAAGGTACAAAATGAAAGCCTTGTAATTACGAGCAAGGACAAAGAATGAATCTCTGACGAGGACAAGTTAATAAGATCTGCAGCAGGTGAAATGAAATGCAGCACTCTAATTCAATATGGCCAGAGACATGTACAACGAATTCATTACAAAACACTCATGCCCACAACAGTGCCCAGCTTTCAGAGCTAAATTAAACACTAAGTGTAGTGGGCGCCAGGCAAGAGTAAGTTGGAATGAATCACAGAGTGACAATAACAAGTATTTTTGTTCCTGTACCTGTAATGTGTTTCAGCGTAGATGCACCTCTCCCAAGATGGTGCTTGATAATGGGAAAATAAATGCCTTGGGAGCAAAATCAGATTACCAGCAAGCCTACATGGTAATGCAAGTGACAAACATGTATAATAGAGGGTGTGCAGGGTACAAGAGAGAGTGCCTCTAGTCTGTCACTGCCATTAACAGTGAAAAGGTGGAGCAGGCAGAAGAACAGAAGGAAATGATTCATAAGAGCACTATTAGTAATGTGCACCATAAACAATAAGGAAATAATGGAGCACACTGTAATTTCATAATGAAGGCTCTGACAAAACTAAATCTTTTTAGACTGTCTAAATGATATAAGGTGATATAAAAGTGTTAATGGTGGTCCTCACAGATGGAACTGAGACAAAGGCTGTAGAAAATAACCAAAAGCCCAGGACACAAACAAGTATAGTTTCAACACACTTTTACAACCAAAATGTGGAACTCAAAAATTCATAATCAACCCATTTTTAAGACCATATTAACCACAGTTTTTAGCTCAAAATGGGACAATACCAAAGTGAAAAAATAATGAAGCCTCAGATGTACTACAATTCCCTCTTGAAAGACTTGGCATCATAATTCAGTGCATAATTGATTTTAAATGTCTTAATCAAACTTTATATGGATCATTCTACCAAACTGGTTCAAAGTCAGAGTTGAAAACACATTTCGGTCTTTTAAATGACTTGGACTTAAGAATAAAATCTATATGCTTTGGGTGACCCTATTAATTATGTTTATTTTATTAAAATAAATGATTAAACATTTCGTTTTGCCACTATCAAAACAGTCATAACACAACCAAAACCTTACCAAATGAGCAGAACTCAAAACTGCTGGCCTGTACAAGGTTAGCACATAAAATCATAATATTTGTGTTATATTTTATGATTTCAATCCGACACATTTTTGTCAAATTTAGCAAATACCTCCTCACGGCCCATTAGCTTTCTGTCCTGTGCGCACGCCGGAAAAAAATACTGGTGTTCGTACACAGCCCTGGCTCTCAATTAATACCTTAGAGTTAAATAGATCATAACATAATCCGTGTAAATATCTAAGGTCTGGATACTTGGTTTTTAATTTTTTTTTTTTTACCTTGGGACCGTAGTTTCAACTAATTCAGTAGAACAGTCATACAGACATACATGTTATTTGTTTTAAACTGAAAAATGTCAATAGATTTCTGATGACAAACACAATAGGCAGTAAATCAACAAAAACGCTAATAAAAACGTATTTTTTAAAATCTTGTAAGTTTAATTAATTATAAAAAAATGTATTTTTTTGTTTCTAGGCCTATAGTGTTTGGGGAAAAAAAAATCACAATAGGAGATCAAAAATTAAAATGCATAAAGAAATGTTTTCTCATTGCATCTTGAGCTCTGAACTGAAATCAAATTGAAACGTGAGGTGGCTAGAAATTTACACTCTGTCACACAGAAACCTAATTTATACTCTTTTTGTCTCTTTTCAATTTTAACAAAAAAAATTTTCTTTGTCAAATAACATAACAGCACAGTTAGGCAAAAACTGAATTTGTGGTTTATTGTCATTATTAATTATGCCATTAAACTATAATTAATCTATTAAGAAAAAAAAAAAAACTGTATGTCATACAAACTTATTGTCCAAGGCTAAGCCACTTAGACTTTTGTCTGAGGTTGTTTCGCCTGATGTTAAACTGTACCAAAGCTGAGACATGACACTGTTTTTCCTGAGACCTAAAGCTGTTGTCTGATGTCTTAAATCTGACACTGTGGTCTAGGGATGTCCTACTACATACATGGTAACATATGAGCAAGCAAACAGTGGCCCCGCACCCCCAAGCCTCCCCTGCAGGGTCGTCCAACCAGCACAGTTCAACAGATGCGTTTCTAGAACAATCCGAACTTTGATGGGTATAATAAATGTGGTATAAACACAAATAAAAAACAAACAGCATTTTTCTGAGGTATGAGTGAGGAATAAGTATTTAGCGTCACTAGAGGCCGTTACCATGGTAACTCTTTTAACCGTCACTGGGCACCGGCCTAGCTTACACCATGTATAAATAAGCTTTATGTACTGCATCTGGCAAGTTTAATAGTATGTCACATGATCTGCTTACCCTGAAAGCAGCGAGGATGATGCGGGTGACCTTCTCTTTGACAGACTCCTGGAGGATGTCGGAGAGGGCGGGCACTACGTTGTAGCGACGCAGCTGTTCGCAGAGCTGAGGGCTGAAGGCCAGGAGCCACACGCAGAAGATCATCTGGTACTGCAGCTGGAAGCCACACTTGTTACTCAGCACGGCCGTGATGCTAGAGGAAACACGGCGCAAACACTCAGAACTGACATTCTTCACCTGCAAGTGCACCTGCAGACTTCAGCATGGTTACATGGCCTAATTGAATGCTCTGACACTTTCTGTCAAGCGTTCTGAGGCAGCTGAACTTGATGCATGGTTGGTAATCTGAGAAAATGACCCTTCAAGTTTCCAGACAGAACGTGCTCATTTATGATAGAAGAGAAGAAGCCTACTACACAGAAAAATGCGAGTGAAAATACACTATTAATAGTGGAAGAAAAACGGGTTAAACTTAATAAATGTGTGACTTTTCAGCTGTTTGCTATATGTGTATGCTTAATAATCATTAACAGTATGGCAGTGTAATATCAGGCACTATGGGGCTAATTTAGAACCCTTGCCAAAAGCTTGCTTATCTGGCTATCTGGTTACAAACATATGGTCATAAATAAAACACTTTTATTTAATTTCTTTTTTCTGTTTAATTTCCTGACACCATCTGAAAACATCATCTGTCCTTTTTCTAAGACAAAAGGACCAACAGAAATGTTACATGACCAAAGTTAAAGGGTAATTCCACTGATTGTTCAAAATTCCGGCATAATTAAATGGTCAGGATATAAACAAAGTGATTCAGAGTGGTTTGATGTGAGTCAGACTTGTTCACAGTGGTGGCAACAGGAACCAGACGTCTCAAGAGTTTAATGTGGCTAAAAGCTATCTCAAAAACTATTATATGAAATGGTTATGAATATGCTGGCTGATGTCTGAGACCTAAACATATTTTTAAACCATTTAAATTAATGGTAGAGAAGTACACGCAGTCCACTGTGAGGCAAAAATAGTCTCCAAAGAAAACTTTTCTTTTTTTCCTCCAGATTTACCAATGTTTTATCATTATTAAAATTACACATAAAAACTCAGAAGACAAACGTAGGTTCACTGGTGATTTTCTATGGTAAATAAAATTGTTATATCAGAATTGCAGACGTCACGACCCATCACCACTACTGTAAAGAAATCAGACAGTCAATAAGTTTCTCTGCAATTAACCATTTCAGATAAAACCTTGTTCAATGACTTTTTTTTTAATCTCAAGCACTGCATTTTAGCATAATATCTGAAAAATGGGTGGGATTCCCCTTTAAGTTAGCACATTTTTTCCTTCTCCAATAAATTAACCATTTCAAAGATTAGGGATGTGCACAGGTAAGTAAGTAAGTAAGTAAGTAAGTAAAGTTTATTTATATAGCGCTTTTTACAACAGGTGTTGTCACAAAGCAGCTTTACAAGGAAATGAGCATTACAAAAGAAGTCCGGGTCCGAGCCCCCATGAGCAAGCCAGTGGCGACAGTGGCAAGGAAAAACTCCCTAAGAGAAACAGGAAGAAACCTTGAGAGGAACCAGGACTCAGAAGGGGAACCCATCCTCCTCTGGTCGACACCGGATAGTAAACATTGTTAGTATAAAGGTACTCAACTACTCAGTTTAAGGTGCTAGTATTCAGAAACAAATTCATGGCAGAGGAGCAGAGTAGAAAGTAAATTAGCTTGACCTCCTTGTTTATCTGTGCTTGTCTGTTATGTTTCCAGCAATTTGTACTATGACCTACCCTTTGCAAAGGGTACAACCTTAGGTTTAAATAGATCATAACATAATTACTCCTTTGTTTTTAACAATTTTTTTTTAACTGTGGGACAGTCCATATACCTACCACACACTGATATAAATATCAAGACATGACTATAGTGCTGTGGAACAAACTGAATTAACATTTAACTTCTAACTTTTACAGTTTTACATGTGAGAAGCTGACCCTGCGAGAATCTCGCATCAACCTTTGAAAATGTCTGCTATTTTCGTGACACATCAGTGACCCTGTTCCAATGCAGCGCAGCACTTCTCGTCCGCTGTGTGGTAGCCTTTAACCAGCTTCAGTAGCCTTCTAAGCTTCCTTCACAGAAGTAAACAGATAAGCTGCAGAATCTACACTATCCTCGTGAGGAGTACAGAGTTCAAACATCTCATAGTTCTTCAACATCACAGACAAGCTATTTTGCAAATGAAAAAAATTTACCAGTTTTTTTTTTTTACAATGTCAAAAACTTTTTAAAACCTCAACGATTCTGACTCATCCTTAATATCTACGTAAATACACTGCAGAGCCAAGACAACACAGTAGTGCTATATTTTAACACATACATGGTCTAATGCTCGCTTTAGGGCTTTCACTTACACATCTTTGAAAGAATTATAAGAACTGATTCTTACCAGTTCACTCCATCAGCCTCAACCCAGGCGAACCTGTACTCATTCACTCTTAGCATCAGCTGCAGGCAGCCAGCCACACACTGAACATACTGGGAGCTCTGTGAGGGGAAAACACACACTCACAAACAAACAATCAAACAAACAAACACACACACAAATTTGCATGCACACATAGACAGGACAACACAATCAGAAAATGAGCAACAGTATCATCCAAACAAGCAAGGCAAAAGTGTATGTGATAAGCCCATCCTGTGTAGGGGCTGGCAAAGAAAAGGCAATGAAACAAGGCTGCCCAAGTAACATATAAAAACACTCAATTCTTTTGCATTCACTTTTCTGCACGTGCAACAACTTTGGACTTCAAGAAATAACTCTAAGAACATGCGGCTTCAAAGAGACAGATAGTGCCACAATGCAGAAGAAGAGACAAAGCAGTGGCACCTACAACCTGGACAGAGAGAGGTTAGCAGTAGGGCTGCAACTCATGATTACTTCTAGATTTGGTTAATCTGTCAACCATTACTTGACAAAAACTTTAAGTAATTGTGAAGCCACAAGAATCTTAATTTGAAGCTTCACCTTATTCTACTTCAAAAGTAACATCAAAATGGATACTTAAAAATTAAACAGATAAATAAATATTGCTGTTAAGAAGTAACAACAATTTTACCAGCTTACTTTACGGTGTTGTTGATAGGAACCAGGGGACATAATGGCTCCAATGCAAATATAGCCACTGTATTACTACCCAAAATGATCAGTGAACATAAGAAACTGCGCGTCTTCGGAGCTTTTATATTTAATGTTGACTATGTCAAAATAGTTGTACCTTTCCACCATGAATATATTCTTTAAAATATGTTTAAGATCAAAAGCTTTTATCAAAGCTACTGTGAAACAATGTTTCAGGCATCATGCAACATATTTGTAACCATTTCACATAGTAACCTTTTGAGGCATTAAACTCTTCAGACATCTGGTTCTGGTACCATCAACACTGTAAACAGTTCTGTATCGGTAAGTTTCTTGTGAATGGTGCATTTCACACCAAACCTAAATGACTGTCTTATGAATGACTTTTTGTTTTTCATTAAAAGTAATCGATGTTTTTTATTGCAGCCCGAATTAGCAGAGTGACTGAGAAGAAAAGATTTGATTAATTACTATTACAGAGAGAGAGAGAGAGAGAGAGAGAGAGAGAGAGAGAGAGAGAGAGAGAGAGAGAGAGAGAGAGAGAGAGAGATGATTTTGCAGACCAGCATGAAGGAAATATGCACAAAAGCAGAGGGCTCAAGAAAAAAAAGGAGAGTTTGTGAAGAACAGCAAAGTAGTGTCCGTCTCGATTGCTGAGTGGAAACTGTATTAAAGTGTGCATCTGCTTGCATCATCCCAGCAGATTCCAAATGACAAGAGAAAAGGGAAAAAAAAACACTACTTCTAATCTATGAGAAACAAGCAGAAGACAGTGAACATGAACACAATCTTCCCTTGCTCTTTAAACCTCCAGAGACACTGCATCTAGCTCAAGAACAAAATAAAAGTGATTTAACTGGAAGCAAAATAAAACCATATCTCTTGTATAAAAAAGCACTGCCTGGGCTCAGATGGGCACAGCTCAGAGAGACAGAGTAGCTGGGGAGCAGAGCGGAGCTTTAGTTGTTATAGAGGAGGGAAAAAAAGAGAGCACAGGTGAATGCGAGAGATATGCAGTGGAGGTCAGTTATTGCCGCGCTGGACAGAGATACCCTTCTGAAAGCTGGCCAAAGGCCTGGGCGCAAAGCTCTCTGCGGCAACATACTCACTTCACTGGGAGAGATGGTTCCTGTTCCTGTCTCTGCACCTGTACCATGTAGTTTCTAACAAAAAGATACAAAAAGAAAAGAGTATGTCCTGCTTATTCACTGGCCCACTATTGTTAATCAACAGAAGAGTAAGTGACGCAGTATGATTTGAGAGTGGGAACAAACGAAACAAATAAACAAACAAATCAATTCCACAAAATGGAAAAACAGGCATTGAACTGATGGCCTGTGTTGCACAGCACGTCACCAGTGCTGTTTCCCGTGGTCATCAGGGCTCAGAAACATATGCTCTTAGCAGAATGTATATTTTAATGTTTTCATTTTCGAGGTCCAATCCCAACATAGCGTTGCTAAACAGGATGTTTCCATTGTTTTTACAGGCTGTATATAGGCCTAATATAATAAAACAGTGGGTCTGGAACCAGCAGTTTGATAAGGATAGGGGTGTGGCGATATGCACGTTAATATATATATTTTTTTATATGTGTGTGTGGGGGTCATGAGATGATATGTACTGTAAATTAAATACAATTACATTTCATTCTATAAAACGTGTGATAAAGAAAATGGCTTCTATAGTTCTATTTCACACAGTCCATTATATTCCTAAAACCATGAAAGTAAAAAACTGCAAATGTGCAAATACAGCCATTTTATTACTACCCAGAATGACCAATGAACATGAACTACATGTCTTCTGAGCTTAAATATCTAATGTTGATAATGTCAAAATAGTTGTCTCTCTCCACCATAAACGCATTTTTTTTTTTTTAAATATGTTCTTAACACAAATCATCTAATACCTGTGCTAATACCTCAAATATGCTAACTCATTTGCGAAGACATTCACCAAACGTGTCAGTTACCGGAGCGAGGAGTTACATGTTACTGCTGCTCCATTTAAGGTGGAAAAGAAACCTGAATAAGAAGCTGGTGAATAGGAACAGCCTTATAGTCAACATTTTATGTTCACTTTTATGTAAATATTGGACATATGTTTATAGTCTTTTTTATTTATTTTATGTATTTATTTATTTTACTTATTTATTTTAAGTGTGGGAAATACCAAAATTTATAATTTATAAAAATAAAATTTGTGCATGGTGACACCTTAATTAAGACATGTCTACAAACACAGGCTACGGAATTTCGAATCAGTAAAGTGTTCCATTTACAGTTGCATGCAAAAGACTGAACACCCCCAGTTAGATTACTAATTACTAATAACAAATGTTTTGTTGATTATGAATGACAATTGAACAATTACAGTTATTGGCTGAGCTTAACATATTTAAAAAAATGGAACATAAAATGTGCCATAACTTTTGCACAGGCCACATTTTATGTTTTACCCCCATCTTATTGTAGCTATGAAAAAGCCAATAATAATTTACCAGAGGTTATGATCAAAATGACTCCACATAAAATGTTACAATTTGTCAAGAGTTAGAATTCCCTGTTTAACTATGCAAAGACATGTTAGTTGGCTTAATGGTTTCTTGCATAACTCACTGATACAATACAAACAAAATCATGTGACAGTGCACAGAAACATTCAGAAGAAGCAAGATGTAACTACTAACTTAGTGGGCAACAAGGAACAAAAAAAATCTGTTATTAATAAGTAACAGAGATTTCAAACGAGCGTTTCTGTTCTGGAAGAGCTAGGGATGATTATATTTTTGCACTTTTGTTCCTTGCAAAATACTGTTTTTTCCTTTGTAAACGGAATGTTATATTCTTTTTTTTTATTTTTATCATATATCTAAGCCATGCGAGTTCCTAACAAAAATATATGAACATTTACTGCTTAATTGTAGATTAAATAAGAACTCGCTCTTAAATTGTTCTTCATTTGATTTCTCTTTATTGCAGTGGAACCCTCTGAAGTACTGGTGTGCAAATCCAGAGGTGTTTTATTTGCATAATTTGAAACTTAAACTCAATTCATTTAAACCATCTCACTTGATCAAATGCAAAATGTTCTTCATTTAACTTTAAATACAAAAAACTAGCATTTTTGCCAACAAACAGCTTAGATGTTTTGCAGACTGCATAGTTCAGATTGCGTACAAATCAGTTTTGAACACACATGAAGGTCATTTTTGTCCTGCCATCAGAGATGACTGGAGGGCCAGACTGTAGAAACTTGAGGGACCTTCAGGAACTATGACTGGAGAGATTCAGTGTCTATACAGATATGGTGGTGCAAATTGTGCAATATTAATATCCCTTGTTGTTTTTTCTCTAACACTATATTGTTAGATATTACCAGATGTTGGTTTAATATGATGTCACTGTCGGACAAAAACCTCTCCAAAACGGTAACTTTCCAGGAGAAGGAAAAAAAGTTCTTCACTTTAAATGGAAATGAATGTAAAAATACTTCTTTCCAAGTAATTTCGGCACATTTCATTGGTGCATTCATAATTTTTATGAAGTACTTTTATAAAATATTTGAGATACTTAAAAGTTTTTTAAACCAATATTTCTTTTGAACAAAATGTAAAAAAAAATATATATATATATGGCTGTAACAATGTAATGTGTAATGTACCTTTGAATTGTGTCTTATCGTTGTATCGTGCCATATTAGCTCATAACAAGTGTTAGCTTGGGTCTTAGATGTGGACTACAAAGCACAACTTTTGTTTCACAAATTGTCCTTTTATAATGTTGAATGTTGTAATAAACTATGGAACTGAAACATTAATATATTTATTCTGACAATGGAAGCATTAATATTTTAATGTACAGGATTTTCAGCCACTCTTTATTTTTGCTATATCAAAAAAAAGCATCAAATTGAGACACCAACGTATCATACTGAACCAAATTCTGAATCATTACACCCCAAGAACGAATGTTCAAAAACAATAAAACATATGCAATGAAACAAAAACGCCACATTGTGATTTTACCTCATCTGCTGTTATGTTGGTTTTAATCCACTTGCCCATTAGTAGCAGCAGATGTTCTACTGCTTCCGTCATCTACACTCATACAGTGTCAAAAGTAAGGCTTGTACTATTTATAAAAAAAAACGTTAGATATTTTGTACAACATGATCCCACTGCTATTCACAGACCTCAAAACAAGGACAACCGACTCAGTATGGTTCTTCAAGGCAAGAACAGCGAGGAAAAGGAAAATAAAAGGATTACAACATAATCAGTAGTAATTCTCACAAAGTGTTGTGAGCTTCAAGTACACTTTTCATATATATTGATCTATATGTGTATATAGGTCCATTAGCTACTTCTGCTGACCCAATGCATCCCAGCCATTCACAAATGCACAAAAAGAAATATCTACACCAGAAAGAGGATTCATCACTGAAGAGACAAATTGATCCAGTTCTGAAAGGATCATTTTTAGCCATTCTTTTGTTATACAAGTCTTCAGCTGTGGAACTGTGCGGGTCCTTTGTTGTTGTATTTTGAACTTAATAAGAGACACATTTTCAATGAGAGACAGTTCTCGACTGTAGGCAGGTCAGTCATTCTCTGATTATGCAGCCATGCTGTACTAACACGTGCAGAACGGGGCTTGGTGTTGTGATGTTGAAATAAGCATGGGAGTCGCTGAAAAAGACTGTCTAATAGGCAGCATATGTTGCTGTTTAGTATTAATGGTGCATTCATAGATGTGCAGGTTACCCACTAATACCCCCTCCGTACCATGACAGACCCTGGTTTTTAAAATTTTACATTGAAAACAATCTGGATGGTTCTTTTCTTCTTTAGCGTGGAGAATACAACATCCATTTTTTCCAAAAACAATCTGAAAGACCACAGACCAAGACCATCTATTTCAGATGAGCTGAAGCCCAGAGAAGTCAGCAGTGCTTCTGGACATTGTTGACACAGGGCTTCCACTGTGCATAGTACAGTCGTAACTGGCATCTGTGGATGCAGTGACGGACAGTGTTTATTGACAACGGGTCATCAAAGTATTCCTAAACCCATGTGGTGATTTTCAACACAGAAACATGACGGTTTTAATGCACTGTTGGATTTTTTGCTGACACATTTTTGTTTATTTTTGTTTTTTTTTCTGAAAACTCATAATATTGCTAGCTAAATCAGCCTAGTTCCAGTAGCAGCTCAGTTTAGGCTACAAGTGCCGTTGGTGCTATAATAGCAAACAAATGAGAAATTAATGGTACTTCGAAGTTGCTGTATTGTGTTATTTACTTATACATAGGACAACGAGTATGAGAAACTTCAATGTAACTTGCAAATTAATGACATGGTACCATGTAACTTGGGGGTGGGCAATATATCACGATACCTGAAGACGATACACAATATATCATGATATGTTTAGTTTTTCAGAGATTTGATTATTTAGAACAGATAGAAGGCACCAGGAGTGCCACAATTAAAAAGTACTATCAAAAACAAAGAGTAAAATTATTTTTATATTCAATTCAATTTTAATTCAAATTTGTGTTTGTGCTACACTTAATCCAGTTAAACAGGACTAATTTTACTCTATTCCAAATTAAACATGCTGGTAAGTGTTCTTTAGCTACTGACAATATTCACGATATGCTCAGAAAGCATGCTGTGACGTAACGTATCCCAATAACACTAAAATGTCATCACATTTCCCACCCCTAATGTAACAATCAAGAAACCAGCAGCTAGATTAGGCCGCATTATATCTGCCTAACTGTATGAGCAGCCTACTTTCTCGTTAGCAGGGGTTTGGGAGAGAAAGCCTTTTATAATAAGCTTTTTCTGCAGTGAGGAACAAGGAGACAGAGACAGAGAGCGTGAGAAAGAAAATGTAAAACTATCATCTGATTTAGTACATAGAGTTTCAACAGGTACTGTCAGCTGACAATAACAGGGCAAATAAATAATTATCTAAATAAACTTAGCAATTTATGGAAGAACGGAAGGATGAAAAATGAACAAATGAAAAACTTACATAATTACAGATGAGTAAAAATAGAGCAACCAAAAAAACACATAAGAACAAAAAACACCGGCGAAACTGGCAGTTGATGCAAAACACGTATTTGGCAGTCATTCACTACGTGATGTAGGTCAGTTTTCTGCCCTAAAAAGATCCTAGTTACAGCTCTGATAATTGCATCATTTTTTCAGGTTCTATGTTCTAAAGCCTAACCCATATAAAAGCAGGTGCTTCATCCACAATAATAGGCTATTTGGAACAGTTGCTAGGAGAAACCCTGAAAAACCCCTCACTGACAGTAATCATCTGGAGTTTGCTGAACAGTGGGACTCTGATGTGGAGGGGTGCTGGGGTGAGATGAGACTGAACTCTCCAAACTCTGCTTCTATATCTCTCTCCATGCCTCGTACTGAGAAAAATACGGTTTGAAACAGGAGGCCAGTTCTGTCCCCAAAAACTGAGGTGGAATCAAACAGAAGTCTTTAAAGTCAACCTAAAATCAAAATTGATTTATCCCTATATCAAATCATTTAAGACATTTTTTTCCTGTAATCTTCCACCAAATGTGCTGACTTTCGTCCGCCTCGAAAAAGCTTTATCAGTTTCAATTACACTACCATGCACCAATAGGCAAACCCTCGCTAATACAGTGTTTCACTTGAAAACATGTCATGGTATGGAAGGCAAATGTGTTATGATTACCAATGGATAATTTACTAAAAAATTTAAGAAATAAAAAAGGTTTGGTGACAAAGCATATAAGCTTAAACAGAAACAGCAATAACTGAGCGAATGGCATGACTGAAGCCAGGTGTACACTGGAAATAATCCATGGAATTTATCAGTGCTGATCTCTTTAACCAACTAATAACGTCAGAAAACGAGAATATAGTCTGCGAATACAGTCCCCTTACAAGAGCACCACAAAGAAAGAATACATTTCCAAGTTACCTGATTCAGTGCAGTATGGCACAATGATTAATTGTCCAGTGACAAGAGCACATGTTCTGAGAATCTCGTTTTAAATTTCAAAGTGCCCAATGGAAATTCATATTAAGAATAGCTCTGCCGAAGCACAAAGTAATTAGCTGCATGACTGCATTCAAAGCCTCAATTTACAACAACGGATCTTACAACTGAGTCATTTGGTATATGTCTTGTCAAGGCTGCTTTTATATCTCTCTCCAACCCTCTTACTGAGAACAATACAGTTTGAAAGCGAGAAGAAAGGAATGGACATCATATACATGAGCTGATGAGAAATGGACAGCTTCAGAATGAACTCGCATGGAAAGCACAGACAGATGAAGCTAATCAAGAAATCAAAAAAGCAAGCCTTCACACAGTCCTTGTCACATGGCTAATTCCATTACATTGCATGAAACTGGAAAAAAATACAGCTAGGGCTGTTCATATAACATGCTGCATTCCAAACACCCTTGCAGTTCCCTGTGAAGTGTAATGCACAGGGTATTCAGACGTATTAAGAGTGATTCCAAATCACAGGGAGCGAAAAAGTTCAGTTAGTAGGGAACACAGGGACAGTGAACAATGGTTTATCGCTGCAGTGAAGCCCACCGATCAGTCACTTCTCTTGAAGATGCATGATTATGACGCTGTAGGATGTTCTGAATTAAGGTATTCATCAACTGCAGTTCCTGTGACATCCAGTGCTCAAGTGTGTAGGGAATATAACAGTACTGCATAGGGACCCTGTGGAATGGACTGCAGCTAACAAGTCAAAAAATTCCTGCAAAAACCAGGGCCACTTACCTCAGTACAGTTTAGGCAATTACAACTTTTTACAACTGAATTTAGTCACTGAATGAATTGCAGTTAGTCCATCAACGAATATAATATAAACAAGTATATCACAAACAAATCTGGATTTTTGTTGCTTTGACAAAAATTAGTAGTGCCATATGATAAATTATGTGATAAAAGGTCACATTTTAGGCACATGGTTTGATAAATTTGTGTTCAGGCAAGCTCAAAGAACATGTATCCCAAAGGAAATTCAACATTTCAGGTCAGGACATTAAATGAGTTAAGTGCAAGTAATTTACACTACCAACGCTAAGCTTATACATATCTGCACAACAAATGCTAAGATTATGCATAACAATGTATAAATTAAATGGTAAAGTAGCCACAATCCAGTCCCCTATTATGGTTCACAGGCTCTAATAAACCACAAGACTGCCAAGAGCACTTCAAAGCCACACATTTCACAAACACATACAAACTCAAGAGAAAACCTTTGCACCCACGCTCGTACATGTGAAAAGGAAAAGGGTGCATCTACAACCACATTTGAGACTTTTACTTACGCATATTGTTAAATGTCTATTTCTGGTGCAGAATTGAAGCATGTAAGCTGTACCTGGGAGCTGAGCTGAGTCTTGATCCAGTTGAAGTAGTAATTCAGATCACTCCCCTCCATCAGGTCCCGTCCCCAGGCAGCCAGCTTGGCAATGATCCTTGCAGCCTAAGATAGACATTTGAAACATTTGAACTATGTATTTTTGCCTCTTAATTATAGAAATTGTACACTACATGGCTAAGTAGAGAACTGTGCTTCCAACACTGTGGCAACAGTTTGCGGAAGACCTCTTTCCTGTTTCAACGTGATAATGTCCCTGTATACAAATCAAGATCCATAAACAAACAGTCTGCAGTCTGAGTTTGGTGTGAAAGAACTGGCCTGCACAGAACTCTGACCTCGACCTCATCAGACTTCTTTGGCATGATAAGGAACACTGACTGCAAGCAAAGCCTTACTGCCCAACATCAGTGCCCAACTTCACTAATGTTCTTGTGGCTGAATGTAAACAAATCCCCACAGCTATGTTCCAAAACATAGCGGAAAACCAACCCGGAAAAGTGGATGTTGTTATATCAGCGAAGAAGGGACCAACTCCATATTAATGTCTGACAAGGACATACAGACGTGATGTTTGGTTGTCCACATAATTTTGGCCATTATTTGAGATATAAAAATTCAACAGGCAAGCAAGCATGTGAGATTTACAGTGTACTCACTGTTCATTATAAATCAAACTTTAAAATTCTGGTTCAAACTCTGCAGCACTGCCCACTCAACAATCTGTCACTACTCTACAATTAAAAATATGGGTACCACTTTAGAATAAGACTACCTTTATGAATGGTTTAAAACAAGTTTATTAACGTTTATTATTTAGGTCATAAACACTTTCAAAATCATTAATAAGCAGTTATAGCATTAATAAGAAGGTGTGCTGTTATATCTGATTAGCATGAATACGTGAGGAAGCTGACACTTTAATGCTGACTGATGGAGAAGACAAAGGATCAAAATCTGAGGTTTAACAGTATAAATGAATGTGGGTTCACTTAGACAAACATCAGATCACTGTTGCCCTTCAGACTGGTTAAAATGAGTTTATTAATGGTTATTAATTATGTCATAAACACCTTATAATCATCAACAAGCAGTTATAACACAAATAAAAAGGGTTATTGATTGCATAATAGTGAACCCACATTCATTTATACTGTTAAAAGTTCAGATTTTGATGCTTACTGATCTTAATCCATCAGTCAGCATTAAACTGCTGGCTTCATCACGCATTCATCGGATGTATGAGCTCACCTTCTTATTAATGTTATAACTGCTTATAAATGATTTATAAAGTGTTTATGATCTAAGCAATAACCATTAATAAACACATTTTAAACCATTCATGAACGCTTTATAAGGGTAGTCTTATTCTAAAGTGGTACCAAAATATGTTTCAATAGTATCTACTGCAACTGAGTCCAGGTCCAGTCCAGAAGGGCCCACGTCCAGCACATTTGGTAATTTTCCTGCTCAAACACACCTGATTCAATTCATCTGTTAGCTGCCAGGTTTAGTAGATGTGTTCGAATGTGAAAATCAAACTGTGTGGGACAATAGTCCTCCAAAACTGAAAGAGAAGTGAATACTTCTGGTCTATTGAGTGAGTGAAGGCATGGCTAAGAGGGCATAAGGAAGTGAGTGATTTGACTGTGATTTCCTTTTATCTACAGGTAATGATGTTCATGAAATTGAGAAAGATAACATGAGTTCATTGAGCATTTTGGTAAATTTCAAAATGGCAATTTCTTTGGTGAATACAGAGCTTTCACAGGTACTATTTTTTTTGTCTGTGTGGGATGGCAGTTGTGAACATTGTGATGTTTTTTGGCATTCTCTACAACATTTCATCAGAAAGAATGACACAGCATATTTCACTGCTATCCGTTTGTAATGGACTGGCCCAGTGACTAATTACCAGCCTCATCCTGTTAGCATTTGAAGTACTTTTCATAATCGGGTATATGGCACAGCAGTGAGGGAATTCAAATTTCCACTAACGTCCCCAGCGTGACATTTACACAACTGGGTGAAATGTAGCCTCTTTCATTAAGAGCAGAGGTGAGGACGGCTGAAGGGATCAACACCATCCTCTTTTAGGTCTCGCGGCACAGCAGTCCCCTGCCACTGCCGTCTGCCCAGTGGCTAATTAAGCCATGACGAATACCTTTGCTGCAGTTCGCGTGAAGCAGGTGCCCTTGAAAGTGCAGGATTCACAGAAATCATTAAGCTTTTAATTGACTGTTTAGAGAGATGCCTGTGATGAATTATTGATGCACTGAGCTATAATTAGTGAACTCTAATCAGAGGCTTAAGGGTAATGCCAATAAGTAATGGGCAACTGAACAGCGAAATAATTAAAACGGCCACTCCAACATTTTATGCTCCTAGTTAAGAGCAGCATTCCTGTAAATGAAGACCCAGGTGTATTTTTTCTCAATGTACAACTACGTGTCATATTAGCAACACCTACGGGGCTCGGTGTCCTTATTTAGCTCATTGGAAAAAAAAACAATTGTTAAGCAAGAACAATAAAAAATATGAGAAACAACAATGATTTTTCTTTCAAAAAAAACATGAATTGTTGGATTCTATTCAAACAAGCATTAGAGTAAGTAAATGGTGAGTTTATGACAGTGATGGTCACGCAGCATCACAAATCAACTGATGTCGGCTCAAAAGGTCAATATGACAGGAGTAAAAGGAGAGGATTATAAGAAAAGTGACATGCGGTAACATCAACTTGCAGAGCGGTATACTGCCTTTCCCTTACAACAGCATAGGACTGGAATGATGAGTCAATGAAGTCAAATAGTCATCAACACTTAAAAATAAAAGCCTTCTTTCCCAACCCTGGACACCCTGCTCTGTACTTTTTACTCTTTTCTCTGCTCCTGACACACCTGATTCAACTTATCATCTCATTAACAACTGCGTACTAGTTACAGTGGGTGTGTTAAAACAGGAAGAGTACTAAATTTTGCAGGACAGGGTGCACTCCAGAACCAGGGTTGGGAGACACCTCTCTACAGCCTTTATATGATACATTGTAACAGCATGCAATATGCTAAAGAAAATGAGACGAATGTGTACTCATAAATTCGAGACACAAATTGACTAGACTGATAAAGTACTAAACTCGACCCAAACCTGCTTAAACTGCTGCAGAAGGGACTGCTAGATTACTGGCATACCTTTGACGCTAATGCTCGGGCTTGGCTTCATTCCCACTTCCAGTTTTTAAACTACATTTTATCAGGATGCAAGAAGACTGAAGTTAATACAAGAAAGACAGCTAACTATTCCATTTATGCAGAAGATGTGGAAATGGTGAACAGCTTTGCCTACTTGGATCAGTTAACAGTGAATGTTCCAGCACTCAAGTAATGAGAAAGACGGCCACTTGGCAGTACATGGATGATAGAGCTTCAAATGATCTTCAAATACAATGATTTGTCTTTAAAAACAAACAAACAAAAAAAAAGGTTAGAATTCTCCAGGCTGTGGTCTTCATTGCTGGACTATAAACAAGCGAAACAGGAAAAATACTGATGTTTTTGGACTTTGGTGTTGAGGAAGACTTCTGAGAGTACTTTGGACGTCAAAGAAATCAACCAAATGGCCATATCAAACCTCAACTCTCACTTAAAGCCCGCATAACCAGACCTAAGCTCTCTTATTCTGGACACATTCTGAGAAGAACTAATTTGTTGGATTACGCTTGGAAGAGTTGAAGGTACATTACATATATATCACTCATTAGAATCAAACCAGAGCCTGGGTCAGGTAGCAGACCTTTAGGTGGGGGTAATATAAAATCTATTCTTTTGCTGCACCATGAAAGAAGAAATCTCTTGTCAAAAAGATGGAATTTTGATTGATGGCGATGCTGTGACAGGCAAAGTCAGAGCAAAAGGCATTGATTCAGCAAGTCAATTCATCGACCAATGCTCAATAGATTAATCAATCACAGAAATAATCGTTAGCTGCAGCCCTACTTAAGATTTTGTGCGAGGTTGAACTTTTCTACCAAAAAGATCAACAAAACTAACATTCACAAACAGATACAGCAAAAAAGGCTGGAACGACCTCAAGTTGTCCCAAAAAGCCCTGGATAAAACCCTGGGTTATTCTGAGTTGGACTGAGCTGGAAAGAACTGGAAACAGTATTTAGAGGCTTACAATCTCCATCTAGGGGCAACCATCTGTACAGTTTAATTTTTTTTTTCCCTGCTCAGGGGGTGCCCAATCCTGGTCCTGGAGATCTACCACCCTGCACAACTTAATTCCACCTCTAATGAAACACACCTGATCCATTTAATGAAGACCTTCAGGAGCATCTGAATATTAGAGCCAAGGGTGTTGGACCTGAACTCTCTAGGGTGGTAGATCTCCAGGACCAGGATTGAGCACCCCTGATTTTTAGTAAAGGTCAAATTTGCTTGTTGTTTTTCCATCCACTACTATTTTCTACTTTAAAAAAAAATACAAATATTGAGTCATTCTCCATAGTTATGCTGATGACACACAGTTGTATCTGCGTAGAATCAGATGACAATAACTTCTAAATGCAATGATACACTAAGCAGCACTGCGAGTGGGTGGACAGGAAGCACCTAAAACTAAAGGTGAAAAAAGGATAAAATTCTCTTTACCAGGACAGAAGGAGAGAGAGAAGGTATTAAGCAAACTAGGGAATCTGATTTCACGGCTTCGGGCCTGAAGTGACGAACATGATAAACGAACGAAATGACGTGTTTCTCCCAACTCTGATCCGATTTACTCCTGACCTTTAAAGCAGAATCAATAACATCAGTACGGCTGCTTTTCCCTCCATCTCAGCAACACTACACAAGTTACACTTCTCTCCCACTGCGAGAAGGTAAGAACCTGATGGTTACAACCTTTTGATTTTATGCACCGACAATGGAAACTTACTTCCGTAGATAGAGATCAAGAACAATATCCAGTTTTCAAAAGCAGCTCATTACATACTTCTTAATTTTCTGTTTCATTACTTTGCTGCAGAAGCATAATCAGCTTCATCTACTCATGTTATTTTTACAGTTTCACAGGTTTAACATTAAGCATCGTTAGCTTCATTAGCCTAAAACATGTAATTTTCACCTCTGAATCCTTCTGATTGCAGCAATATCCATTTAACTGATTTGATATTAATATCCAAGCCATATACACTAATCAATAGGACATGAGATTCTAGAAAAAGACAGTGCAGCATTAAACTCCTCAAATGGCACATTTTAAACTTGATGTCTTCATTAAAAAAAAAAATAAAAATAAGAGTCCCAAACTCGCCTCCTGGAGATCTTCTTTCCTGCAAGTTTCACCACCAACCCAAAACTAAAGGTATGGTCACAGTGAATGTGAGTGAAATCCAATTGGCGATAGAGAAACAACTTAGTTGAATGGGAAATCACAAGATCACGAAAAACGGACTAGCTTCTGGTAGCGTTAAATTTCTCTTCGCGCTGAGTTCATCTAGGTGAACGTCAACCCCATGAATCTGCAAATCATGGAGGTGTCAGCCAGTAGAAAACAAGAGGGGAAGCTATGGAGTCTTCTTGCTTAAAAGCGGAGAAACATTTCTCAGTCAGCATAATGTCATTTGTCACTCACAGTTTCTAAATTAATTAATAAGTTAACCAGCTAACATTAACCGCTTACTGAACCATACGTCCCCTCCAAACCCACCTCAAACCAGGACTGCCCATACACATCTGACTTTTGCTCCACCCCCTCCAAGAAAATAGCAAGGCAACGGTTCAGTGTGACCACAACGTCACACTCCTCATTCAGTCAATGAAGAATTTCTGAAGGCAATAATTAGATACATCAGGTGGGGTTGATTAGGAATGAAGCTAAAGTCTGCAGGAAGGTAGATCTCCACAAGCCCCCTGAAAAATGCACAGTGGGAGAGGGTGGGCACTACCACCACCTGGTAACATGAAAACGACAATGCTGATGCAACACATACTTTTACTCAGTAGCCCTATTTGGATTGGACTGGTTTATCAGGTGGACATCTGCTAAAACAGATTTACTCGTTTCAGTGATAAAATGAGCATTTGAATGGCTATAAAACTACCACAGTAGACAAGAGATTTGAGGTGTAATTTCTATGAACCTGGATGCTTGTCACATGTGGTCATATGATCACCCTCTGTTTGTGTAAAAAGTAAATGATATTGTGCATATAAAGTAATGCTTTGATGATACTGTGTAGCGAAACATGAATATAAAGTGCTTTGCAAATGCAGCTGCCATTATACCTCTTTAATCAGCCTGCAAGATCTTACTTTACTAATAGACTATTTTCATAAACTCTAACGTTTTAAGTAAATCAAATGTCATAAGTGACAAAAACTTTTTTGCCAACGAAGTCCAAGAACAGCCAAAAAGAGCAGTTCGCTTACATGGTCACCAAATAAGTTAACATGGTGCACGATTTTCAAAGCATCATTCAATACATATCAAAGCTTCTAACAAGTAATGAATGTTCAACAGTGCTGCAAACGAGAGAGGAGTTGTTAGCATTAGCTTAGTTAGCGTGACGACAGCTCTGCTCACCACAGAACATGTTAAATTCTGGCTAACTAAAGCTAACGTGGTTAACATAGTTGGCATGGCGACAACCAAGATGGCGGATCAGCTGTGTCCAAGCAACTGGAACTTGTTTGCAACCGTCACAATGGGTTACAAACATCTGAGTTATAAGTGGAAGAACTCAAAGCTGCTGCTGAATGGCACGATAAAGCTCTCCGTGGTACCTTTACTTTCCAAAAGAGCCCAGGGTTTCAGAGTTTTAGTGCTTGTTCTGTGAGGAGCAAAGGAGATCTTATTTGCACTTAAAGACATTTGGTCTATTTGGTTTGTGCTTCATCTGTGTGGATCTGCATCCTAAAACAGCTACAACTTTTTCACGGTGCAAAGAGCACAGCAAAATTACAAAAAAACACAACAAACCAGAAGCCGCATCTGCTGTTTTGACGTAAAAAATGCGTCCCAAAACCTTTGTTTTTGTGTTGTTTATTCTTATCACTTTTCAAGTTTTTGCGCACGTTAAAATGACCAAGGGATTGTGGGATAGCAAGTGGTACAATCAAAAAAGCTAAGCTGGAAAACCTGACTTCAAGACTGTCAGGTTAATTCACGTTCGGTGCCGTAGACAGACACGATCCTCAAGAGGCTCATTGTCGTCGTCGAGCTACTATCATGATTCACTTTGATGAGGCTTTTCCTGGCTCTGTTTTTCTGCTCTCTGTTTAATCAGGACCCTTGTCAGTGAGCTCCCACACCACTAATCAATAAGCCCCTCCAAAATATAAAAAGGTGAAACATGTTTTCAAGTATATTTAAAGTAATTCAAATGTGAAACAGAAATTTGACATATAACTTTGACATGCCATCATCATTTTGAAATACCGGCACTGTTTCTACATATTGCTATACCATCTTACATTGGTTGACTCATTTGTATAATATGACAAAGATTTGTACTCCAGTACTGATCTGTCATGCACATTTACAGCAGAGTTGAACCAGAGGGGGGCTCTTCAGAGGCTGAACTGACCACAATAATTATGTTATTTTTCTAGTTCGAGAAGAAGTCTTACAATTTCAATACGATTGACATCACTCCTAATTACAAAGCAATCTATTCCAGTCTTTAATGGGTGTAATTACTCTTTGATCAATAACAGAAAACAATTTCCACACATAATTAGAGCAGACACAGATTGCTTGTAACAGCAGGCTTGGTGGCTGTTGAGGGAAATGAATTCTTACCCTTTACAACTACAGCAGTGGCAACTCACCATGTGAACGGTGAAGAGGTCCTGACGATTCAACATGGGGAGAAAATAGGACCATGCCGTGTTCTTAGTCTTCTTGGCATAATCAAAGAAAATGTTGACCCTCTGATGATTTTCCTGCATTGAAAATGAAAGGGTTACTTTCTCTGTTTGAAAGGAAGAAACGTTTCATTTAAACATTTAAGGCTTATAATTAAAAAACTGATTCTGACATGTAAAGACCTAGGGTCATACTCCATTAAACCAGCAAATAACCAGCAACACTGGCCCAATGTCTATTAAGCCAGCCAATGTTTAATGATGGGAAAAACTGCTGTGCTTGTATAGCGAGTTTAAATTCCCACCATTTCTCAGGCACTAAATCATGTACTGCAAATGACAGCTTAGAGCTGCTTGACTGAAACAGAATTAAAACCCACAGTTAAAGCGCTCTTAAAATTTCCTCAGTTGACTGGTTAAAGATGCCTTGAAGACCCAGAAAGAGAAGCAGACATTTTGACTTCAAAAAAGTAATTACTTTGCACATAAATTCTCACTCCAGTTCAAAATTAATTCAGCTGTGAGAGGAAAGATTGTACTTCACTCAAAGTTTACTGAGTTTTTATGGTTCGAATCACTTCATGTCCCACAAACATTTAGTTTGTTTATTTATTTATTTATTTATTTATTTTTTGCTGAGACGGATTGCCGGAAGCACTGCAGTAAGTCAAGGTGTCAGTGCAACAGTGAGGATAAACACTGAGCTTTAGACCAGAATGAGTTTGATTCAAGCCCATCTGGACACTTTATTGGATCTCTAAAGGCGAGACATCATTTATCACAGTCAGCTTTGGTGAACCCAATTTATGCCACCTGCAGTTTGTCAAAGTCAAAACAGTTGCAACTCACTTGAATTGAACTTTTTTTAGTTGGAGAAAAAAATAAAACTCTTTTGATACAAAGGCACTGCTAAACTCCTGAATGTGGGATTGATAAACATTTAGTTTTAGAGTCTGAAGCTAGAGAATAGATAACAGAGTCTAAAAGAATTACAAAGACCATGCAAGTGGAAGTAAATTAATTATTTAGGTGGTGAACAGATCTTTTTTGCATCTAATGTTTCAAATCAGAAATGTTACATCTAAATCTCTACTGAATCAGATTTCAATGACCAGCCATAGAGATGTAAATGTGGAGCTCCATGAAAACTTTAATTACTTATATTAATTACACTAAACAATTTGACTTAAAGAGCTCATAACCTATATTTTTCTTGTATTTTTTTTCTTTGAGGTCCACACATGATGTTTGTGTGAGTTTATGTTCCAAACACAGTAATTCATTTTTAACGTTCCAACTCTTTTTCCCTTAAACAGCCTGTTTTTGTCTTTGCCTAAACGACCTCTGTTCCTTGTATTGTGCCTCATTTAAAAAGTGGTCTGACCTGACACACTTTTTATCACTTCAACATGAGTGGGTGGGCTAAAGTTTCATTGGTTGAATAAGTGAATATATATGTAAACGTGTTTCGAGACATTACAAAAACAATGAATTCAAATAAGGCTCTTTTTGCAGCTTAATTTCCACATACGGACAGTGTGGACTTGGGAGAGAAAGTTATTTCTCATACTTTAACAGTGTTTACATACTACAACAAAGTCATTTAAAAAAAGTAAGGAGACTTCATTTTTCTATTATATGGGCCCTTTTCAAGGCCAAGAGAAGATAACTTCCCATTGTTCCCAAACATCTGTTTATGTTTTAGTCTCTAGTTTAGAAATTTCAATCTACACCATATACATGGTTATTGAATAACAATTATTAATATGACAAGTGATTCCAAACTGCATTTTGTAATAGCTATGAGTGGATGAAATAAGCGTCTTCAGAAAGTATTTATTTCAATGATGTAATGATTCAATAATATTATTTTTCTCATGTAAACGTGAGGTGGATTCTTGTTAGAGTTGAGACCCTCAAGGGGACCTGTAGCTTTCCACGTTGCTCATGCTTTTGTTAGTTTGCTGAGTGCTTTTGTTAGTTGAATGAGAGGGCTAAAATCCTAGATTCTATCATAGCAACATACAGCACGTGAGCAGCCGCACTACTATAGATGGGTCAAATCAGGAAAATGTGTGAACATCATTAAAATAATTAATGGCATTAACTTATTGTGTTAACTTTGATAGCCCTAATGACTATATTATACATTATTATATAATGTTTTTCTTTTTGCAGTATCATTAAATATTGTGTGTGTGTGTGTGTGTATGTGTGCTATACCTGTAGAGTGTCATCAATCAAGGTCAAGATGTATTGAACTGTTTGCTCCTTCGATATGTGGGCCATAAGGTTGAGGAAGGTCTTTGCACACTGTAATCAAACATTGATATAACATTAACACAATTAAAAGTCTGACAATTTATTCCAAACGCATAAAAAACGTGTCTCTTTTTGTACACAATGAGAAAACAAAGAAAAAAAACAAAAACCACCAAGCAACCTCCACAAAACAGTCCACCCAATGTGTAGTAAAGATTTTAAAACATACTTTGAGATTTGAAAACAGTTTGAGGGATATTAAACTTATCAATACACAGTATTTTACTTTTAGCATACTGACATTAAATTTAGTGATGGAAACATAGGACACATAAAAGCAGCAAAGAAACCTACCTGATGTCCTTCATTTGTCAGAATTGCCTGCTTCTCCTCAGAATGAGCTACCTCAAACTTCTTGATGAACTCACAGTCTTCTCCTGAGATCATCTGGCCTCTGAATAAGATAAGGTTAAGAAAACTCCCTCTGAGTTGGCTCACCAACTGGTAAACGGAATGAATGCTTTAAAAGACATGAATCAGCCATTAAAGTGAAAAGTGGGTATAAACAGTCATTTTCTCTGACTACATCTAAAGATAGGTGATGCATTAGCATATACTATATACCTAGAAGTGAGAGAAAAAAATTCTTCTGTTTTAGAGAGCATATGTGTTGCGTGCAGGCTATTGAGAAGAGAAATTAAGGTAAAACAGCCCCAAAGGATTCTGAGCATTGTACTTGTACTTGAAGTCAACAAACAGCCTACAGCAAATAGTAAAGCATTAAAATGCAATATATTAATAAAGCAATAAGCCACAAGCGGTAATTGCAGTAACGCACTGCCTCAAGTGGCTTATTGCTTTTATAAAACAGCGACAAACATAAAATATGATAAAATAAAATAAAATACACATTTTTTTTTATTTTTCAGAAAATAATTTAAGTTATTAATAATAATAATCCACATAAACAAGTATTCCGCCAAGAAATGTAGTTCCCTTAGAGTATGGTATCGTTGCCAAGCAACCATGGCCCGCTGAATGAGGAGAATATTCAGTTGCCCATTGCTGTATACTGCAGTCATTAAATTATTTTTTTTTACTTTTTGTCATATAACAATGAACACATGAGAACATAGCGCTGTTTAACGCAAAATCTTTGCTCTGTAAGTAATTAACACCAAGTGTTATTTAGCACCAATCCAGCGGTGCCTCTTTTCTCGTGCTGGGCTGAACCTCAAAGGGCTCCCTGCTCCCTACATAATGCACTACATAGGAATTTAAATACTGGATCTTGCATCCCAATGGTGCAAAATATAGCTAAGAAGTAGTCATTTGGGACTCAGCCAGCCACATCCATACTGGATAAATGATGCACTAGAATTCCTAAACTTTCATAGCTAGAACACTATATAGGGAATACAAAGCCGTTTGTGATTCAGCCTGGGTTTGACGCAACTTCTGACTGAAACACAAACATCTGAGGCGTGTAATCCACTCAAGAGGCATATTTCTAGACCTTTTTATGCCGGTTTACAGTTAATCATACCGTAACTACTTTAATTCATGCTGGTGATATTAATGATGGAGTTGTTTAGGCTGTTTTAGCCAGTTAGCTAGCTAACCATCCTAGTTCCAGTTAAGAACATAAGTTGCCAGCCCCTCAGTTTAAAGAAAAATGGGTTCTTATTTCAGCAACATACTTGGTGGGCCATGCGAGCAACATGAGAGTCAAAGATTATTTCATTAACAGCACAATGTTTTTTTCGTGCCGTGGTGCAGCAATATACAATTCAGTTGTTGTGTGGCGGTCATAGGTGTGCATATATCGTGGATTTACAACAGCTTCAAACCAGTCAATCAGATTTCAGGACTGGAACTATCCGTTTTATAATATGGTATTTTCCACAGTGAGGTAGTACAGTCAGTTTCACAGTCACCTGATTAACTTCATGTTAAGAAAAAAAAAACTAGTACTTCTGACTGGAAAGCTGTTTAACAGAAGGCCTCGAATTAGCTTATAGCTGCCTCTAATTACATGCTTAAAAACGATTGTAATATAATGTTAATATTCTAGAGGCTTCAAGCAATTTACAGGTATCTGTAAAAATTCAGTAAATTTGATGATAAACAGAGCTGGGAATATTTCCATAATAACTGAAGAAGCTGTTTAATGCCAAATTTAACTTACAATGAAAATTATATCCAGAATGCCTCATATTCAAAAAGATTTTGCTGATCAAACAGATATTTATAGACACTTCATGACAGCAAATTACTACAAATAGATAAACAGTTTATTTAATAAGATTATAACATCTAATGTTTTGGTGTACTTAATAGCATTTTAATGAACAATGTACAAGTTATTAATGAATAACATTTAATATGACAAGTGATTCCAAATGTGCACACACACACACACACACACACACACCCACACACACACACACACAAGTATTAAGAATCACAAGATCTTGACGCAAGGATGGATTTTTGCAGAGAAGCAACGTAGTTCCTCTTCTTGAGTGAAGTTATAGGGAAGTGTAAGGCAATACATTATCCATGATTTAGTTTAAACAGACACTAGTAAATGAAAAATTGTGTTTAAACTGAGCATTAAAACACATTAATTAAGCACGTTTCTATTTACACTTTAAGGGTCCATATCCTACATTTTCCATCAGAGTCCACTCATAAAGTTTGTTTGGTCTTAAGCACCCAATATAGTTTATTTTCATATGACCATTTTCCAACCTTTCTTTATCCCTTAGAGTTAACAGTCTATATTTGTTTTTCTGACTATAAGACTGATTATAGCAAATGAGATCTGATATGACTGGCTATTCAGTATTGTGCATAATTCAAAAAGCAATCCAGGCTGAAACACGATAACATCAGTGTAAATGGGCAGAGCTAAACTGTTGTAGACTGAATAAACTGATACATGTAAATGTATTGACTTTGTAACATTATAAAACAACTTATTTAAAATGCGCTGTTTTTGCAGTTTAGTTCCCATATAATGGTCTGTCTGGACTGTGGAGTGAACATTTTGAAACTTTAACAACGGGTGTGTCTCAAAACCTAGCGAGCTCTCTACATAGACAGCATTTTACGTCACAATATGCGTGCCCCGACAAGAAGGCTGTCCCAATTCTTAGATATCTCAAATATGCTGCCTACTGAGGTCTCTCATTTTGGCCCAATATCGAGAGAGCATCGGATGTTTCCTCAGCCGCTGAGGCAATCCCGCGATGCAGCGCGGCACAACTTTTGTTTGAAGTGCTTCACCAAGCAGCGACGTCATCTTCAAATGTACGTTATTCTGATTTTCTGGGGTATTTATCTGTTTTCTAGTCATAAAGGTGCACAGATAGCCTATACTTTCCGCGTTTGACCACAACTATTGTCTATTTCGCTGTTTCATTCAGAGCAAATACAATTAAAATCGCTATATAAACAGCCAGAGCAGGATCCATGTTGGCTAACTGTGATTCTGACGGCTGAGGTAAGTAAACGCCGGTCTCGTGCAGTGGGCGGGAACAAGCGGCGACGTCTTTGCTGTCTAACTAGAGCATCTCATTTATCTGCCTTATAAGGATAGATGATGGTTGGAACGCTGCCTACTTAGACAGCTGCCTAGGTAGACAGCGCCTACTTAGAGAGCTCACTAGGGTTTGAGACACACCCAATGTGTACATGTCACATCAAACTCTTATTTCAAAACATTATTAATTATCATCATTTTGTTTTCTATGATTTGGGTGTTCTAAAATTATAATATTTACAGTTAATCCAAGATTCAATGAGAATTTGATTATGGGCAAACTGAAGCGTAGACAAACCATAGCTGAAGTTTAATTTTAATACACACCATTAAAAACAATGCAGGGGCAGGGAAGAATAATTTCTATAAGAATAATTAAGTATTAGGATACACTATTTTTTCCACATATCCCACCCCTAGAACAAAGTATCTGAAGTCTATTTTCCATTTCAGCTGTGTTTTTTTCATATCTCTGTAATACTCACTGCAGGTAGGACTGCCAGTTGACCTTGTTAGCGCGGACCTCAGCAGCCTTGGCTGCGATGATATTTGTTGGGACAGCGGCATCCACTGCTCCTCGGATGTCCATTGTCAAATAACTGTTGTTTGATATTTAACCTAAATGAAACTACAGAAGAAAAACAAAGAATGACTGTACTGTACATACCTACATGCTGCATAGCAATTACAACACTGTGTGCACTAGTTAGTCAGTTATGCCAAAGAATCAGGTAGTATAATGTAATAGAATGGCATCTACTGCAGACACTTTTTAAGGCAAAAATCTCATCTCAAAACTATTGTTAAACAATGTCCAAAGAAATGTGCAGTGTACTCATGACCATTGTGTGTAATAACTTTGTGAGGGAGCTTTAAGCGTTAAATTAAACACTTTTTCCTATCACCACTACTGTGAACAATCCTGACTCAGTAAGTTCCTCTAGAAAAAAGCACATCAACCCCCCTGAATGACTTTGTCATGTCTTAACAATTTAATCCTGTAGATGAAAAAACAGAACTACTCTTTTGTAAATATATATTTTCACTAAATTGTGGTCTCTCCTGCAGAACCCTCATCCTCTTAGCCAAGAAAGCCAATAAGGCTCTTTTTACTGGAGGGTATGTGCTTGATGTTCATACAAAGAGAGAAAATGTTGTGGACCTAGATGTAGATAACGACGGTCAATATCACTTTCCACTTTAAAATTCTGTTAATAATTATGAAAATATTACAAACAAACGATTAGGGCTGAAATTGATTAATGTAGGCTATGATAAAATTTACAGCTCTTGCAATTTGAATATTGCACTCTTAAATTGCAATTTCAGAGTGCAATAAACTGAAACAGTGCAATAATCAACTTGTAAGAGCTGCAATTTTCATTATAGCCTACATTATCATTAACAAGTTTTAAGAGGAAAACCTAAAAATACAGACTTGTGAACTACCTATAGACGAGTTAGACCAATCAGAAACAACAAAACACTCATGTGCTGTAACATCAGAGCACAACTAACTGGCAGTCTGGCACGGTACATTCAGTGTTAAAGCTGCAGTCCAGAGAAAGTGTTCTGGTCTGTCTGACCATAAATAAATACATACATACATACATACATACATACTAAAAACATAATAAATAACAAACAGGCCTGAGTCTTAATTTATAAAAAAAAAAGGCAATTAAAATCACAGTTGCAATACTGGTCAGAAAAATCACAATCAAATATTTTCCCCCAAATCATTCAGCCCTATAAATGGTGCTACATGTCTCCAACTACCAAACCAACATTTCTCCTCTGGCACTTTAGCCTGACAGACTAAAGCGGCTTATTACACAATGTTAGACAACAGTGAACTAAGCCTACAGCGAGTGACCAGCTAGTCGTTAGGCTAAGGTTAACTTACACCGCCAAGTTTGCTCGCCAAATAAGTCAAATTCTGCTACAACGAGTAAGTTAGCTAGCTAGCTAACCATTACTGACAGCTGGTTCATCTGCCTCAGTCCAACATCATCCTCCTCCTCTGTCTTCACTGCTAGCTTGTCTTTACAGCAACACCAGCAGTATGCTAGCTAGCTCATGTATACGAGGCTGAAGCCGGCCTCTTATTCTCCGGCTTCTTGTTCAGATTTTCTCGTTGCATCGTGAATGATGCAACGGTTAACTGCGGCTCCATTTAAGGTGGAACGGGAAAATTCGAACTACAAGCTGGAGAATAAATAGGAAGCCGACTTCAGCTTCGGCTGATTCATAACAAACAGACATCTTTTCGCCAAAATTAGAGCGTATTTAGATTAATTCTTGGCTAGCTTTGTGGTTATGCTGTTAAGAAACGCTGACACAAAACGTAAACAAGTATCAGATGGAAACGTCTGTGGTAGAAGAAGAGGTCTGTGTAAAAGACATTCCGGTGACATTGTCAGAAAGCTAACTTAACAAAGCCGAGTCGGTTAAATTATCTGTCTGTTTAAACAGACACGTCTCTGTTCAGCTCCCACAGCAACAAGTTAAATATCACTATCGACAGGCACTACAGTTATTAAAATACCTTACAGAGAGATAAATATATTCCTGTTTAATGTTTGTTGTTCAGCGGATTCCTCTCAACCTACCTGCAGCCTCAGCTGGAACGTCACGAGGCAACAACACGTCACGAGACCGAGGTCACATGACACCCTCTCGAGTCAGAGAGGCAAAATAAACGCAGGAAAACCTGATTCAAGTCTGATTGTACACAAGTACAATAATCCGAATAAAACAATAAAATTAACCTTTAGTGGGGGAGCTTGGATTTATAACATTAATAAAATATTTTAAATACATTGTAACAATTAAATTTTCTTGGAGACGAATAGAATTATTATAGTAATAAAAGAAATCCAAAAAAATGAATGAATTAACCCTTTCACAAACTACACCAAAGGCAGGCTTTTACTTTATTAATAAAATTCGTATGAAGCTGTTACTTATAATACTATTAGAACATTTATATTGTAATTAATACAGTTAGTCATATTAAATTAAGAATATTATTAATTTATTATGACTCATCAATAAAATCATTAATAAAATCACTAATCAATAGATGTGAGTGAATTACTGACAGGACATGGTGCACAATTACATAGTAATAGTTTTTTTTATAGTATTTAATAAAGGTATTAATACTCATGCAGATTTAAAAATATATACATAATCCAGACACAAAAGTTACCCTAATTTTAGATGTTTTACTTGGTATCCTGAGAATTTTGGGAACAAGAAATAATAATAGTGTTCTGCATTTGCAGGAATTTGTCATTCAAAGTGTCTGGATTTCTAAAATGACTTAATGTATTGTCAGCTTTACAGCTAAAAATTATGTGAAACCCAAACAGTATTTGTACACATTAACTACTATCAATTAACTATAATTGATATTTACTTCAAAGAAAAAAAACACTTTTAGCATAACACCAAACTGATGGTAGAATCTTTGTATGGAGAAAGCCTGAACCAGACTGCACTAAGACTCCTCTGAAGCACAGAGGTGGAAACCTGTGGTCACAGGACGCTGTTGGCTGGATATTTTTGGTTGGTGGACTATTCTCAGTCCAGCAGAGACACTGAGGTATTTAAAAACTCCAGCAACACTGCTGTGTCTGATCCACTTGTACCAACACAACACACACTAACACACCACCACAACACAACCACGTCAGCGTCACTGCAGTGCTGAGAATGACCCACCACCCAAATAATACCTGCTCTGTGGGGGGCCTGACCATTGAAGAACAGGGTAAAAGGGGGCTAACAAAGTATGCAGAGAAACAGATGGACTACAATCTGTAACTGTAGAACTACAAAGTGTTCCTATATGGTGAGTGGAGCTGATAAAATGGACAACGAGTGTAGAAACACGGATTTAATTTAATATTACGGCTGATTAGTGTATAGTCCATGTGAGAGAGACAGAACCCTTGCGTGAATGACACACATTAACACAAGCACACAAACCCACACCCACATCCTGTCTTAATCTGCCCTAAGCCTGTGAGAGGCACTAAACCACAGTGGGACGGGGCTTAATGGGAGTGTGACCATAATCCCCCTTTGCCCTCTCCACTATGGATGTACTGCTTACTGGAGGTGTTGCTGTCTCGCTTTTTTTCCCCTTGTCAAGGACCTACAGTGATGCAGACTCTACAGCAGACGGATGGAACATTTCCCTTCTCTAAGACTGCGCCGTCTCACTGACAACATGGAGATCTGCTGAACGGAGAATGCCAGCCAACAGGGTTGTGATAAAGTGGGAAGTATCTTCTGCGGTGCAGTGTGTCAACCACACTCACTCCTTTATGTGTGGGCGGCTGCAGCGGCTGCTCTTTGCCTGTCGGTATGGTGAGGGTTACTTAGCACCAGGAAGTTATGAAAGTGACACTGAACACCATGGAAATGGACCGGAGGATCCTATATCCTTCCAGGTAAGACCTCATTAAATAGGGGAACACATAAAAACAAGGAATGAGAGCTTATAAACTCAATGGTGCTTTGATTCAGTGGTTGGGCCATTCCAGCAGCATGCACAGCACTTTGGACAACCTGAAATCAAAACAGACCTTTTTTTCCCTTTGTCAGTTCATGTCCCTGGTCAAATTATATCATCAAACTTAAAAGACAATATTCCTGCTTTCCCATAATCTTCTGAAAAGTCTTCTGATTTTTGAATTATGTCACCGTGAACCAGCAGGCAGGGAAAATAATAATAACCAATAATATCATGTTTTATGTCCACCTACCTCACATACCACCCCATCTAACACAGAACATGCCCAGCTAGCTGAGAGTCCCTTCTTAATACTGTGTTTCACTCAAAATTTATATCCCACTATAAAATAAAATGGCGCTACTTCACATCCACATTGACTTTAAATTACAAACTTGTCAGCTCAAAAAAGACTCTAGCATTTTTTAACCTGTCCATATGTACCACATCTGTAATACGCTCTCAGAAAAAAGATACTAAACTGTCAATGGGGTGGTAGCCTCAAGGGCACATCTCAGTACCTTTCGTCAGGGAACATAATTGTACCATAATCCATTGAAATTATATTTTCTAAGTTGTATTGACTCCACACACCCCGTCTTGTCTCCAGGCTTTTCATTTTATTGTCCTGTTTTAAAATATTAGGTTATGAAAAGGTACAAATACATACTTTTGGAAAAAAAACTTACTCAAGGTTCACAGTGGGACCTTAAAACCACTGTTGTACTTTTGAGGGTACATTACATTTGTACCTTGATGAATGAAAAATGTACTTGCACAGAACCTTTATTTCTAACAGTGTATGGTCAATTACCATGGACCCGAAACAACGGAAAATCTGTCGACTCAAAATACAGCAGTATCTGCTCATTGACTTTTACTGTAAATGTGCTTTGAGTCAACAGGTTTTCTGTTCCTTACTTAATATACAACATACAACAGAATTACTGTTTGTGATAATTAACCCTACAAACTGAGAAACAAAGGTACTATCATGGTCACTGGGGCGGTATCTCACTTTTCACTGGGGTGATACCCTCAAGGATACATCTCAGTGCCTTTAGTCAGGGAACATAATTGTACCAAAATCTATTGCAATTGTGTTTTTTTATGTTTTGACTCCACACTCCCAGTCTCGTCTCCAGCCTTTTTATTGTATTGTTTTGTTTTAAAACATTAGCTTATGAAAAGATACAAATATGTACTTTTTCCCTGGGAAAAAGTTATTTAAGGTGCATTATAACTATTGTTGTCCCATTGAAGGCACATTAACATTGTTTGTAACTCTTTGAATTAAAAATGTAGCAGCATAGTACCTTTTTCCTGACAGAGTATGCACAAATGAGTTAGAGCTTAGGTTGAAAAACCTGAAAAATTTCTTTACAAAAAGTAATAATTTACATTTTTAATATCACTCACCCACTCACTCAAAAACATGTTTAAAGGGGAGATTTGGGAATGTGAATAACTACTTCAAGGGTTAAAGAAACTTCACATAATACAAACATTCTTTACCCATTTGAGAGTTCCATTATGTAGAGTTTCCTCAAACTTTAAAAAGGTTCTTCACTCCCACACATCTCATTTTTTCTAAAGAACCATCCACTGAACGGTTCTTTAGGGAACCATAAGTGGTTCTCCTATGGCATCGCGCAAAAGAACCTTTTTGACAACTTAATATTTAAAAGCGCACTGCAGAAAACTGGTTTTGTCAGGAGCTTTCTTCAGCAAATCAGCATAAAAGGACCCATTTTCTATATTTGTCTCATATTTTTTCCCCTCTGAGGTCCACTTATGACGTTTGTGTGGTTTTATGTACTAAAAACGGTCATGATTCATTTTTACTTGGCAATTTTCCAGCCTGTCTTTATCCCTCTGATTTAAACAGGCTGGTTTTGTTGTTGTGCCTTTAAGGCTGATATATATAAATCACCTCTGTTCTGATTGGCTGCTCCGTGTTGTGCATCATTCACCAACAAGTTCAGGCTGAAACACTCCTTGTAACTTCAGTGTAAATGGGCAGGGCCAAACTGATGTACAGTGAATAGGTGTATATATGTAAATGAGCTGGTTCTCATGACATCACAAAAACACTGAATTTAAAACAGTCTGTTTTTGCCATGTATTTCCATGTATTGACCATATGGAGTAGAGAGTGAATGGCACGTTTTGAAACTTAGCAGCATTTAGATACATCAAACTTTCTTATCTGAAATAAGTGAGAAAAACAGTCAGTTTGCCATGATATGGGCCCTTTAATTCTACAACTGTACAGCTCCAGATCTGTTCGTTTATGAAATACATTTATTACGCAGGTATGATTATTCATGAGACTTATACAACGTGGCAGGTAGGCGCCTACATTTACCATTTCAAGTGCAAACAGAAGTCAGGATAGCAGGAGCTTAAGCGCACATAAGGATCCCACTGGATGTTATTTATTGCTTGTGGAGGCGGCCATCTTTGTTTCTTCAAAACCATCCTATTTATAGGAAGCTGTGCTATCTGAATGAGAGAAGCGATTAAGTCCACTCGGCTAGTTGCATAATCAAGTGAGTGAACGAAAGCAGTTTGCTGTGGGTTAAAATAGCTCCACACTCAAACAAGCTCATTATATGCGCTTATACATTAATCGTGCTAGGGATTCATTTACAGTTAGAGCAAACTGGGGCCTGCTGATATTACACTGAGCTGATTGTGAGAGACTCCTTATTTCTGCCATGTTTAAAATGAGCAGAGTTATTTATAGTGAATGGAAAAAGGAGACTTCACTGCTCTCTGTGATTCCTCTGGCTTACGTGAGGTAGTAGTAGACCTCCTCCTAAAGAACTCTTGATGAGCCATCATTTTGTTTAGCCATTATGATTATAGCCTACTTGATGCCTCGCTCATACTGACAATAAGACATTAACCATCTCTTAAGACGGTTCTTCAAGGGTTCTACAGTCCAGAAAATGGTTCTACATAGAACCATGAACACTCAAAGAACTGTTTGCATGATTAAAGGGTTATTTGTGTTGTGAAAGGGTTCTTCAGACTGATGGAGAATGTGCTGTATATGGTTCTTTATAGAACCTTTTTGAAAACGGTTCCCTTTCATAGCACGAAGAACCCTTTAATTACGCAAAGGGTTCTTTGAGTGTTCATGGCTCTATATAGGACTATTTTGTTTACTAAAGAACCCTTGAAGAATCATAGTTTTTAAGTGTGTGTAGCCATTATGATTATAGCCTACTTGATGCCTCACTTATCCTGACTCTTAAAAAAGGTGGTTCTTTAAGGGTTCTTTAGCAAAGGGAATGGTTCTATTTAGAACCATAATTTCAAATCATTTAAGTGGTTCTTTGCATGGTGAAATCGTTCTTCACATCGATGGAGAATGTTTTGTATATGGTGCTATGTAGAACCTTTTTGAAAGTGGTCCTATATAGCACCAAAAAGGGTTCTGCAATTTTTAAAAGCTTGACACTGTAACAGTAGAAGAACCCTTTTGTTGTTGTTTCGGTTTGAAAGGGTTTAATATACAAATACAGTGGTATTAAAACCGAGGGTGCAAAGTGAATGTACACCACATTATTGTAGTTCTGGAGAAATAAAAGCTACTTATAAAATGAACATTTCTGCTCAAAATGCTGCTGTTCTGTTGAATTACCAAGTGAAAATTACACATCCTCCACAGAGGACACACTTCTGCATATTTTAATGCACAATTACTGTTTATTTGCTGAATTAGAAGAACATAAAATGGAGTCTGTGTAAGAGTTATGGTGTATTTTTTATTTCATGTTTACTTTTTTTCCAATAGGTATTAAAGCAATAAACCATGAAAGGCTGTGCGTTACTGCCATTTAATCACGGAAAGGGTGTTCTTAGGCACAGCGTGAAGCAAAGTGCCTAAAACTCTCTTCCCTGTAATAAAATCGCAGTAACACACAGTCTCAAGAGGCTTATTGCTTTTATAAAATGGTGGCCAACATAAAATATGACAAAATAAACCATTTTTTTAGAAAATAAGTTATTGTGAATAATAATCGACATAAAAAAGTGTTCCGCCAAGAAATGTAGTTTCTTTAGTGTACGGTATCATTGCCAAGCAACCATGGATGGCTGAATGAGGAGAACATTTGGTCACCCATCGCTGTATACTGCAGCCATTTCATAAATGCAGCTATCTCATTTAGCACCAATCCAGTGGCGCCTCTCTTCTCGCTGTGGGGCTGAATCTCAATGGCTCCCCAGTTCCTACATAGTGCACGAGGTAGGAATTTAAATACTGGTGAAAACTATGGCTAAGAAATAGTCATTTGGGGACTCAGCCACATCCGTACTCGATAAAAGAAGGACTATTTGGCTGTAGAGGCTAGAATTTTAAAAGGTTCATAGCTAACACCCTATCAAGGGAGTACGGAGCCATTTGGGATTTGACTCAACTTCTGACTGAAATACTTTCATATTTGCAGCATGTACTCTATTCAAGTGACATATTTTAGACTTTTATATTGCTGTTTTACAGTTAGTCAAAATAAAAATCGACAGGATGTAAAAAAAAAACAGGTGTTCAAACTTTTGCACACAAGTATGAATATAAATATGAGTATGAATTTAAAAACAATCACAAATCAGTGTTTGTATTTACAATATTTTAATTCAAATCACAATTAAGTTTTGTAGTAAGCAATTCATGGTCTTCTCACACCCTTCTGGCAGGCCTGGGTGTGGAGTCGTGTGATTGGGATCTGACTACATAGTTTGAACAGTATAGCAAAACAGAAATAACTCTTGACTTCTCAGACTTAAAATATTGCCTTTGCAAACTTGACTGCCAGAATAGGGTGTTTAACTATGTTTGTATTTTCTTCATTCATTATCATTACCAGTATGAGAACAACCTTGAGGGAATGAACTCATTTTGCATTTTGCATGTTCCCATTAAGCATT